ATGCCAAATAACACAACAGAAATACTTAAAAAGGGAATGTAACTTTTGTCCAAGCTGGAAAATGTCAACATGCGATCGAGACTTCTTCTTCCATGTGCGCATGCGCAAAATCGAAGTTGCAGGCTCTTCGTTTTGTATGCAGTTTTAGCGATTTAAAGCTGCCGTTTTTACTGTTTCAGTAGCGAGGTATTATATTTATGTTGCTATTTCCATGATTAATGTGGGCTTTTCTGCGTTTTTCTGCACAGTGGGAAAGTTTTCTTTGGTAGGCCTGTTCATGCTGTATCTGTTTTCATAAAGAACTTCATGTGGCCTCAACTGTCCATGAAGTGGGACAGTGTGAGAGTTCACTGGGAAACACTTGGCATATCACAGATAGCTCAAGAGTTAGGACTTGCTAACAGTGTCAGATTAGATTCAATGGCAGACTTGATGAAAAAAGGATTTCTCAAAGCAGCAACTGTTTGTCATAGCAACAACTTTTGTTGATTTTGCTGGTTCCTGATGACCCGTCATTTCTGGAAACATTATTTCCTGCAGAAATTTATTGTTACATCAATATGTATCAGCTATAAAAATATATTTATTGATAAATTATGACTCAAATCAGGTACACAGCACTTAAAATTTATTTTCATATGGTGTGATTATCTCTGCAAACCCATATGTATATGCTGAATGCCACATTGTGTGAAGTGTTGGAGAAAAAGCTGTGTAAATGGTCATGCACTTTGTTGTTTGGGTTTGAAGCAAGTGAAAGGCAAATAGTTTATTTTTGGTTGCTCAAATGGAAAAACCATAAACTGTGTTTACCACAATAAGCAGTTCAAGGTAATATTAAAAAGGACAGATTTAACTTTGGATACTAAAAAACGTGTACAATGCCAATAAATCTGACTTATCACTATATAAATATCATGAGTTATCTACCTTACCTTCCTTGGTTTCATATCTGACATTTAATATCTGGGAGAAAAATTATGACAAATAAACATTTTGAATGTATTCCACACCTGTGATTTTCTCAGTCATGGATCTGTAACAAAGTAATATCAAGAAAAAATATCTGTCAGTTTGTGTAGATATTCACCATTCTAATGTGGCATTTAGATAGCCAGTTTGTGATTTAAGCCTGGCAGTAGTCAACAAGATAAGCCACCCTGGCACTGGACTGCCACGATTTTACCATTCACAGAAGGTGTTAATATTTTGTGCATGACAAAATACTAAGCCCTCGTATTACATTGTATACACTCAGCCCTGAGTTAGGACACTAATATATGGGATAAATGGGGATGGTTACAATCCACAGGTGACCTATCACCTTATTTTAAGGCTGAGTAAGCAGAATTTAGCAATTTGTTTTATCATACCTACTCAACTTCTTCTCTTATGATCTGTTATGTATACAAATGGCATGGGGTTCGACAAGGTTAAGCTCTTGGTCATTGTCTTTTCATGGCTAGGTGTGACAGTAAATTTATTTTTAAATTTATGTGTGATTGATCATGTCTAAAGTGTCAGTGTTAATTAAATTATCAATGTATTACCAAAGCTCTTATAGTATAGACAATGTCTTAAACATTTTGTTCAGAATGATAAACCCAGCCAATAGTAGTTTAAATTTCTATACATCTACTAAAAAGCATGTTACTGCTCAGGCCTTTGCAGGTAAATGTAAACATCATATTACCGTAAATTATAAAACCATTGATCCTGGGGATTTGATAATTTATTTTTAGTCCATGATCTTATATTGCCATCAATTTGGTATAATGAATAATATTATATGTGTACTCTATACATTTGTGCATACTGGATGCGCATTTCTGTGTAGACACAGTGCTTGAATATACTGTAAGTTTCAGCACAAAAGTGTCCCTAAGTTAATCTTTCATGATGTATGACATAATGGATCTTAGAGAAATGACAAGTCCAGAACACACAAGCCCCTATGCTATCCATTCAGCCATCATGACAAATTATTTTAACTTTTCCACCTTACCATATATATATATCAACTTAAACGTCCTTTGCTTAGTGCCGTCCAACATCTACACAATTAATTGAATACATGTTGTAATGTGAACTTGTACACTTTGATGTGGAGGACCTTCTTGAGACTTGAAATGCGATGAGATGACTGTGCACACATGATCGTCCTTTAATCGTCTCTCCACAGAACCTTCATTCATGTTTCATGTCAGGGGATGTTAACAGTGGCAGCCATTTTGGTGCTCAGCCATCAAAAATAGATGTTTGCTTTTTCTTTTATGGCAGACAGTTAGTTTGTGTAGGTTTTAGTGTGTAAATTTTGTGAGAGCAGGATAAAATACAGTTAGTTTTACTACATGGAATTACTTGTATGAGAGGCATTTTAGAAGTTGTGCAGATGAAGGAAAACAAAATTCTATGGATAGTCAACTTCTTTATTACAATGAGTGCAATGTTTTGGTGTAGGTACTAAAACATTATCATGCATGTGATACAAAGAGTTGTAACATGGAGAATATATACATACGGTATATATATCACTTGCTTGATAACTCATGCTTGATAACATGTTAGTACCTTCACCGAAATGTCGCACTCATTGCAATAAAGAAATTGACTTATTGATACATAGAACTTGGTTTTCCTACATGGAATTACGTGAGTAATTTGTATGCATTGTTATACAACATATTTACAGGAACAACTGTATTTGAGTTGTAAGGTATTTATTATTTGTGACAGCAATAAGTTACTTTTGCTCAGGACTGAGTGTAGTGATATTGGAAGTCTGTCAACTAAGAAGAGAAAACACATATTTTTAAAAAGTTATGATTCTGCTTTAGTTTGTTAAATACCACATCATGATATTAAAAAAAAATAGATATAATTGTCACAAAGATGAAGGTTTTTGCGAAAAGAAGTGAACGCTGTATTATACTTTAGACTGTTGTCATGTCACACACAAAGTGTCTCGTATATGATGAAGTGTTCAAATTCAGGGAGAAAAGTACATTGTCAGATCTGTGAGCTCAGACCTTTTTTAGTGCTTAAAGTGACTTAGCACTAGCACTGAACCACTAGACTGTCAAATCTTCAGGTTTGTGTTGGCGATGAACCAACCTCATTGTTAGGAGTCGGGGCGGTGGGGTAGCCTAGTGGTTAAAGCATTCGCTTGTCACGCTGAAGACCTAGGTTTGATTCCCCACATGGGTACAATGTGTGAAGCCCATTTCTGGTGTCCCCTGCCTTGATATTACTGGAATATTATTAAAAGCGATGTAAAGCTAAACTCACTCACTCAATGTTAGGAGTCATGGACAAAGGTGTACAAGGAAACCAAAAAATTCAAATTTTTGGCATTTCAATTTCTATTTTGTTAATATTTAAATACTTCAATTTCATTTTATACTGTCATTACTAATTATGATTACAGTTATTGATTGAACATTTGTTGAATTTTGGTTTATATTCACACTTTGATTTCTACTTCTGTAACATTCATATATATGGCAACGTAATATCCATTTATACCACCTACAACTTTGAGGGTTTTTTGTGTCATCGTGACTAGTGTTGATAGGCATGACAGGAATTCAAGTCATGAAAACATGGATTGCCTTGTTCCTTCCCCCTGTGAATAGGGGTGGGCGTAAGATAAGAAGCTAAGTGACATGTAGGTGTAGAGTCACTTACTTGCCTCACTGCATGAGCAGTCTAGGTCATTCGTGTTTACTGGTTTGGAGAATTGAATGGCCTGCCAACTCATCAATAGCCAATGGCTTTTGATAAGATCTTGCTATGAGCTGGTGCGTAGAAAAAGAATTAATTCTGTGTCAAGGTGTTATTTTTGTGGGCGTGTGAGCATGTTTGAATTAGATTGGAAAATGTGAATATACTTACAAATATGCTCAAATTTACGGAGCAGTATGTGGAATATATTAATATATTAAGTTAATTTCTGTAAGGAGGATATAACACTATTATTATAAGGTTTTTTGATAAAAATGATTTAAATGTTGAGTAAGTTATATTGATGTCCGACTACTACAATATTTGAAGTAACTGACTGACTGACTGACTGACTGACTGACTGACTGAGTTTGGTTTTACACCGCTTTTAGCAATATTCCAGCAACATCACGGCGGGGGACACCAGAAATGGGCTTCACATATTGATGGGTCCCGAACCGGGTCTTCGGCGTGCCGATCCAACACTTTAACCACTAGGCTACCCCACCGCCCCATGAAGTAACTAAGTCGGCCTAGTGGTCAGTTGAGTGGTTCCTCATGCCGAGTTTGACACCTACATTTGTACCATAGTGTCTTCTGCCTCCATGCAGTAGTCTATAACTAAAAGTTGAAATATTGTTAAATGAAAATAAGTCTTATAATCATTAAATCACAAATGGTCTTAGGTTTTGGGAAAATAAGAATAAAATGTAGAAAAAACAGTCCATTTTCGCAGGTGCTGTCATTGTCCTCTTGACAGGCACACTGTCATAATCAAGGTCATCAAGACATCAAACACTGTCATCCATCACATTTATCTCATTATCAGTTAGAACAGCTAATAATTATCTGGGGTGTGTTTCACCATTAACCTGCTCTATCTGTGGTACTACTGAAGACGAGTCTTTGATATATGATGACAGTTATATCCCCAAACCAATTACCTCCCCTCCTTAACGATTCGTTATGAAATGTCTAGTCTGAAAAGAGACGTTTTTTGTTTATATATTTAACTGACTGAATTTGTTCTAATATTTTGCTGAGTGACAAAACTTGATCATGCAAAGTCTGGTCTAAAAGCTTGCAAGAGTTATGTCCCTTGATGTGATCACTATCCCCTACTCTTGGCTACATTTGTTATTCCTTTATATCTTACTTAATATGTTTGATAATTGTCTTTTAGATGTATTTTTGCAGTTATCTATTATACCATCTTCAAAGAATACTACTACCATTGTTACAATCTATTTTCTTATGTTTTACCAATTGTTTTCCAGCTGTTGGTAACCTGAAGCAGTACAGTAAAGTGACTGACCACCATGTTGCACGCCATGGGTTCGACTGCTACATGTTCACCCCGGACTCCCGCCCTCACTGCATCAAGGACTCCTACACACTGTCTGATCTCACACCGACCAAGATACTTCGTGGTGCCGATATCTACAGGAAAGATGGACTCTGCAGCTCAAATCTCTTCAAGCTGTGGCCTATCGTTCTCAATGATCACAAAGTCGAAAGCCCACAACTTAGCATGTTACGCAGGGTAAGATGCAGTATCTTTCAAACATATCTGGCTAGCTATTCTCGAAACGTTCGTAGCCCTACGAACTTCTTAAGCCCATTCTTAACACATTGGCTACGATCAAAGTTAAGAATTCTTAGAGTTACGAACATTTCGAGAATAAGGGCCCTGGTCATCAAGGTGATCTTAGTGTAACCTATGTTAAGGTATAGGAGTTACGATCACCTTAGCGCTAAGACATGAAATAGTTATTATATCACATTCAATCATTAAATGACAAAATCATGAAAAGTTATTGAGAATGTGTTTCACCAATCTCCATGTCAAATATAAAATGGAAAGGAAAGTGGAGGGACAGTGCTACTGCTTATTGAAAAATATATAAGAAGGGAGTGAGGAGTCTTGTGAAATGGCTTTCATAAAATATGCTTTTGTGGGCTTCTAACTCTAATTAGCTACATGTATATATTTGGGTGCAAAACCAAAAATGATTTCATCATACCCAAATAGTTTGGCTTTTGCTTACATTCAAACATGCTTGAAAAATATTAAACATGCAATGGTATATTTACACTTGATGAAATTACAACTTTAGTTACTGAACAAATGCACGTATCACCTATTCATAAACAAAAATGCTATGTGTTGCACATTGTAACTGAGACATATATTGCTGTTGAGAGTTTCTGCAATATTTGTCATTCTCTGAGCAGTACTTGAATAGACAAACATTAGAGTTACCTGAAACGGCCTTTAAAGCAGAATTATTTTGGAATATCTACTCATTTTTCTAATGAGTTTTACTTATACCCAATAGACAGGACTCAAGGCAGCAAAAAGGGTATTGAATACATATGGGGGAATACTCAATGGTTTTACAACTTATCTAGAGCCCGAGGCACTTTGGTCATGGCCGTCAAACACTGACTGTGACAGTAAAGCATCTCATCATGACAGCACTGTATTTTCACTGAAAGAAAAACAATGGTAGACTATATACATGTAACAGCCACCTGCACATTGAAAGGTCACACTGCTTTCAATCTAAATAGTTCTGGCTTTAATCATTAGCTGTCTTGTATGTTTAAATCATTAACTGTTTACAAAGTTTGTTAGATACAATTAGACATGGTTAGACAATGGTCTCATATTGTTCACAAAAGAACTGACTTTTCCAAAAACTATTCCTGTTGTACAACTTATCTGAATTAGCTGTGGACTAGTTTAATGGAACTAATTGTGTCTACCCCAGTAAAACAATCAGTGTGAAGCAGTAAATGTTTTGTTTGAACAAAATTCGTAATTGGTTCATTTCAACAGGTTTACAGGTTTGTCATGTTGATTAACAGTTGCATATTTTAATTATGGATTTTATTTGCAAATTCTAGGATCGGACGGGTCAATCATGTAACAAAGGCTACAAGGTCCTCAAGATGCCCGAGTGTCGGCGCACGATACATGAGTTTGACCTTGAGGACAGCAACAAGGTTGAAGAGGAAGGGATAGATTATTTCTGCGAACCCTCCGTGGTCCAGATTGATACATCAGGGGTCGGCTTCCAGAGAATGTCTTCATTTCGTGACTCATTACGAGATTCTGATGCCAAGAAGAAAAAACGAAGAAGAACCGTTTCTGGTGTGCCCGAGAACTTGTTGTATGAAATCAGTGAGTTTGAACGAAAGAAACGAAACACATTTGACAGTGCTCCTCGAGACAGGCCAAGAGCTTACAGTTTTGATGACCTAGATGCTAAGACTAAAACTGAAAGAGATGAAATCCTTGCACAGTATTTTGATGAAATTGATGCAAAATATGAGGAAATGCTTGAAGAAGAAACAGCACAGAAAGAACCCAAAATACTGAAATTTTTACCCTGTAGACGTTCAAAATCACTCCCAAGATGTGTCAAAATGTCCCATCGTAGTATCGAGCGATTTCAGCAAGGCAGTTCAACAGGAAGTTACGCCAGTACACTGAGTCTCGCGAGTGAGAACTCAACTGGTTCAAGGTTTTCCCGTTCAACGAAGCGGTCCAGCATCATCAGCAACAAGATTAAGTCCCTTGTCAACGCTGGGAATGCTAGGCTGCGACAAAGACCGAAGTCACTCGATCTGGATGCCATCGAACTCTGCCCAGAAAACAACAAGAAGACGAACTTGAGAAAAGCCACATCTCCCAGCATGCCTGCTAATATAGAGCAGACGACGTCTTCCACAGACAGTGTGGTGGGACCTGGGACGTACTACTATTTCGAGAGTAACACCATTCCACGAGCCCAGGCTAAGAAATATGACTTCCCATGGGAGAGTCTGCCTAAAGATTGGACCACTTCAGTGAAACTGCGGGAAATAAACAAGAGGAAGTCAATGGAAGAACGTAATTCTTCTTCAGGTAAGCCATCAAAGAACATTGTTTGTATTTAGCTGCTATAGTGGTCAACAATCCACTGAATTTCTACAAAAGCCAATTTGCATGCATGTAGCCTTTAACTATTTCTGTCAACAGTTGATTTTGCAACATTTGTGTTTAACAAACAAGAAAACATGAGACTTCATGGTTTAACCAGCAACTGTTATCCATAAAGTTGTATGTTAAAATATTTACCTACCAACTTCTACAATGCCGATTAATGAGTTCAGTATGATTCATTCATATATGTTTTCTTTAGATAACCATCTGAATATCCAACAGAATAATTTTCTGTCTGCAGTTTAACTGATTGATTCCTTTCTGTTATGATATGTTATGTAAACAGTTTCTTTTTACAAGTGTCACTCAACAAAAGGTTTACAAAATATTACCAGCAATTTGTGTCTGTTGAAGGAACATAATTACCAACACCAACAAATGAAAATCAAGCACCTGCTTCAATTGTATATCGTGCAGTCTCCCACCGACTCATCTACACATATCAATTGCACATTCCACTTCATGTCAATTGGCTTAGGTTAATCTGCATAATTTATAGCAAAGTATGCCACCCATCTTTCATCTGCTGTATACAGGAATAGGTCCAGTAATCCTAATCTGACACACAGGATTAAGAACAGCTTAAAGGATTTAACAAATTGGTCATAAGCTCTAATCCCAGGGGTAGCTCCCCAGCATGGCAAGTAAGTGATTTAAGGTCATGGACCCTCCTGCCTGGGTCAGATTAGGTGAACCTGATGCTATAATGAGTTCACACATTCCGTTCAGCCTCTGCTTATTATGGTCATACATCATTTGAAAAATATTTTTTTCATGTTTGAAATTTGGTCTGTAATATATGAATGGTTTGTCTGAAGCATGTACATAAATATTCAACAGGCTTAATAGATGCCTTTTTGGTGAGTACGTCTGAACAGGACAATGTTTTAGGTATATATTTTACCCATATTTTACAAATTTACCTTTCATCCACCCTTGTAATCATGATATCTCAATACATCATGTGGAAATACTTAAATGTGTTATCCAGTTTTGAAATTTGAGCTACCAGTATATATTTTATTTGGAGAGATGAATATTGTTTGTTTTAAAAATTGGGTACTTGTTTTGTCATCAACTCTGAGTAAACTGGTTTGGAGGTAATGTAAATTGTTTTCATCCATGGTGTTTGCAATTAATTTTTACATCTTTTTTCATTCTTTCATTTTATATTTTATCAACTATTGATCTTTTAGAAAAATACTTTTGTCAAATAGCAAATTGTATATGTTAATATGAAGGAACCCAGATAAACCATACATTATGTATATTTTGTGACAGTAGCTACTGATCCTGAAATTATTCCTTGTTACACACACTCTTCCTTGAGGATTCATGACAACCAACCCTGCTATTTATTGATTGGGATAGTGTTGAGTAATGACAGCAAATCAAACAAATAAGTGTACTTACTAAGACTTGACATTTCTGAAAGATTTTATTTATCATACTCTATTCTGACAGATCTTGTTTGCTATACCACAAGGTACCTTTTGAATGCCAAACACACTTGTAACATTAAGTGCTTATAATTCATTTATAGAATGGTAATATGACAACAGTGTTGCAGTCTGTATGTTATCATTACAGGTGCCTGGAGTGCTAGTGGGAGCAGCAGCAATCGTCAGTCACTGGATTCCGCCAAGTCCAGCATGCCGTCATCCACATCTCAATATTCCATAGGGAAGGATTCTGGTAGAGACTCACCCTCTATCACTGATGACAGGTGGGCCACTTACTGAATTGGAGCTGATAGGATATGAATTAAAAATAAATACTCATATCTCATGCTTGTAGAAAGAATCAACAGTCAGGGAATTTGAGACCTTCCTTACCTGATGGCATAGGGCATGTGGTTGCTCATGGTATTAACCACTGGTTTATGTGACCTAGACTTCGTTATTTACAGGACACAATGACAGCTGGAATATTGCTGACTGGTATAAATCAATATGCAGGAAATTGCTCATTTGATGGTCTAACCTTGACTTGTGAATGAACAAAGGATATCGTTTGATGGTTTAACCTTGACTTGTGAATGAACAAAGGATATCGTTTGATGGTTTAACCTTGACTTGTGAATGAACAAAGGATATCATTTGATGGTTTAAGCTTGACTTGTGAATGAACAAAGGATATATAACCTTGACTTGTTGATGCTTTGATTTAACCTTGACTTGTGAATGAACAAAGGATATCGTTTGATGGTCTAACCTTGACTTGTGAATGAACAAAGGATATCGTTTGATGGTCTAACCTTGACTTGTGAATGAACAAAGAATATCAAAATATATATATGTTAAAAGATGTTGAATCTTTGCTAACTCCTTCATTATATGAAATGTCTTTCATTGATTAAAGTTATTTGGGTGTGTCAGGATTAATGTTTTCATTGATTCTTTTCCAAATGTTTCAGACCTGATGGTTTGAAGTACAGTCCAGTCCAGGATGTGGCTCACGAGGATGATGAAATCAAGTCAGTGACTGGGACCAAGTCCCACTTCACCAAGATGGACACTGACGCCTGGCTGCAGATGTTAGCAATGAAAGCTGCAAGTAGAGATGACGTAACCACCGACTGCGCCGACACGCTCAAGTCACTCTCCCAGCTCACCAAACAAAACATCCAGGCACTGGATCTGATGTCTCCAGCTCTCAAACCTCCACAGAAGTTGGATGATGAGGCCTCGTCTGTGTATTCATTGGATCAGGAAGGCTTCTACACGTCCTTCCACAATGATAGTGGCTTGAGGCGTAGCACTGCCACACTGGATGAGGATTTGGATAAAATGTCTCCTGTGAAGGAAGCACAGAGTATGCTAAGCATGTGCAGCACTAACACCGTGGAGAGCGTCATCTATAGACCTAAAGATGGAGAGAAGTTAGCATCCCCTATAAGTGTTAAGAAAGGGGGTAAGTGTCCTCCTCCACCGCCCCGCAGAACTAGCAGTATGGAAGTCTGTGCTAAGATTCGTGAGAACGACAGCAGTAGTAGTTCAGGAGGTAGCACCTCTACACTCAACAATGATGGATCTAAACCTGGCCACAAAGGTTTAGATTCTTCTTTCTCTGAATCTGACCAAGAAACCATCTATGCAAGACTCAAAACCAAAACCAGAATTTCGTCCGGTATGTATCCATCCTGGTGCTCTGTTTCTGATGAAGACTCCACACCAGAGAGTTCCCGAGAGAAACTGATGAATGGGCACAAAGATGTCAATGGAAATGCTTCTAAACTTTCGCCTTTTGCTAGAAGCATGTCCCAGCCAACATCGATTGTAATGACAGCCGGACAGGATCTATCCCTAGGTAATCCTACCATGGTAGGATTGTCAAGAAAGGGAGAAGAGATGGATTTGGATTGGGAAGGTCATACTCTACCCAAGAGACAGTCCTCAACAAAGATGATGGATGATGAGGATTTCACCACCAACTCTTGGCCAAGGTCTGGTATTTTGAAGAGAGATAAATCACCCAATGGCAAAACCCCGAAAACATTGAACTTTGCACCAATGATTAATATGTTTGATCCAAAGTCCCCTAATGGTGTGCAGCTACCTTTGCCTGAAATGTCCTCCTCATCCTCTGATGAAACAAAGACCTCAGCAAACTCACTTACAAGTGCCTCAGATGATGGGTCGTTCTACAAGCTTGCTATTCCTCTAGGTACACCGGAGACTGTGAAGAAACATCATGGAAAGATTCCAATGAAATACCAACCTATCATAACAGTCAAACCTAGACCTAGATCTGCTACAGATGCAGGTCAGAAACCCGGTGCTTATGTAAAACTGTCCCCTGGTTCCCAGCCATCACCACCAAGTCAAGTTGTGTACCCGACTAGTGTCATCAAGCCATCTACCTCTACACCAAATGCATCAAAAACGCCTTTCAGAAATCGCTCGTCAAGTTGCAACAATCGAGTACGAGCTCACTATGCATCCACAGATGTCATGTCACAGAGTTCAGGGAGCTCATCCTCCATTCCTTCCATCTCTTCATCATCCGATGGTGGCTACATGGACATGAAGTCAGCGACTATCAAGAGTTACCAATCAGACTCTCTAAGCAGTAACAGCTCCATTGGCTTATCCGACATTGACTCTAGTAGTTTGACGTATGTCAGCATGTCCAGTGCAAACTCTACCCCGACAAACTCCACCCTCACCTTGACACAAGATTCAGGGTCAGATATGTCTGGGTTAGAAGATAGGAACAATTACATCACTGTTGGGCAGAACCCAGTGAAATCTATGAGAGACATGGCTGTTGTGAATGGACCCACAGTGTCTAGTCCACCAACTTTCTCCAGTTTTAATGGACCCAATACCAGATCATTCACATCAAGCTTATCCCCATCTCCCACTGTTGAAGCACCTAAAATGGCCATGCACAGATCTTCCACAAATCCTCGAATTTCAGGTGGTTCACAAGGTGTTTCTCCTGCTTCTAGCTCCTTCATACCTCATTCAAGTTCAAGCAACCAGTCTCATCGACATTCCCTGTCTCCTCATCAATCAACTCCAGTTAATAATCCTCCCCCTAGTCAGTCCAGCTCAGTCCAGAGACCATCTGTACTGGCAGTGTCACCAATACAACAGTCACAACGTCCTAAAGACAGGCGCAGATCAGCTCCTCTACTTGGACAGTCCCACAGCAGCTTCTACTCTCAAGGCTCGCCAAATGATGCCTATTCTAAAGGATCACCAAATAATGGCCTCTCTCAAGGATCACCCAGTGGCTTCTATTCCCAAGGATCACCCAGCAATGCCTACTCTCAAGGATCACCTAGCAGTGTGAGGTCAGCAGACTCACAAGCCCCTAGTAGTCGCAGTGACTCTTACAGAGTAGCCATGAAGACGGAATATGATCAAGGATCACCATCAACTCCCAACAGAGCTACATCATACCGAGCTGCAGTCACCAAGACAAACTCAGCCCCTCCAACAGTTGAACCAGAGGTTGTTAACAGGGCTGATTCCTACAGATTTGCAGTGAGGAATACTAATGGTCTTGTAGACGTTTCTCATAAAAGAAACACTTCTTATCGTGTTACTCTCCCAGAAGGTGAAAGAGACAGTAGACTCGATGCTCTTAATTCATGGAATGGTAGTGGTAAGGACCTTCGTAGAATGGGCATCACAGACATTGATCAGTTAAAGTGCTATTCGGATGATGATTCCACCAAACGGGCAAAGGAAAAGAGTGGAGGAGCGCTCTTTGCTACTATAAACTCCAGCAAGAAGAAGATGAGTTCTAAATCAGACATTGAATCTTTGCTGAAAGCAAACAAAACACCATCTCCAGACACTGGGAGCAAGAAGTCAAGCAAGAATGATAAGGACAAGGACAAAAAGAATGCCAAGACAAGGTCATCCACTTACATCAGGTTCGATCCGATCTTTGAGGACAAGGAAGATTTCTTCAATTCATCATCGGACACGCTTAGGGCACCCTCTGTGTCGTCCCTGCGTCCTCTCTCTGCATCACACTCAAGTGAGACGCTGACCACAGAGGAGGGCCCATTATTGGGGAAGAAGCTGCAGGCTCCAGGCCCTGTAGGGAAACGCAAGGGTTCAAATGGCAAGAAACCAGTAGATGAGAGAGCTGTCATGTCCATTCTAGACAGCATTAAGTCAACAATAAAATCTATTTCTGGTCGAAGTCCTGACAAGGAAGACAGTCACTATGTAGCCCAGCAGTATGCTTCAGACATTTGAGGGTTGCAGATAGAATGTACAGTGACACCCTGTTAATCTGGACTGTCCATTTTCAGTTAAACTGTCGAAATAAATATACTTCTAGATTAATTATTCAAGGGTACTTTGTGTCATCCCTCTGGATGCACGTAGATGTCCTAAGAGTAATTGTCCAGAAGGTAGCATCAAAGTCCAGATTAGATGGGTTTCACTGTATACACTGTCAGTGTAATATTTCCATGGTGACTTGTTAACGTGGTTGTTTCTAATGGGTATTAGTGTCAAATACATGTAATGACCATCCCTCTAGGATGACAGGTCCATGACAAAGTCATTTCTCCTGGATGCTAGCTGAGATCAAATCTCCATTTTGTAACACAGAAGCTAAAATGTGTGGGTAAATACTTTGTACATGACCTTAATTAGCAAGAGGTGTACGGTGGTAAAAAGTGTAAAATGATACTGAATGAGATCTGAAATGGACATGATACCCAAAATATAACAGTTAACTACAAAACCCCTCCATCAATGAGTTAAATATAAGCTGATTCTTGAGGTTGGGAGTATTCATCTTTACACCAAGTTTATGCCATGTGATGCTTTTGTCATATCACTTTGGATTATTTGAAGTGTAAATAGGAAGGGAAGATATTTAACATTATGACAATGTTCAGGAAGTTTGATTAGTTTCTATGTTAACATGTTTGTACTGGTGCAGTATTTGACATATTAATGATTAAGTTAAGAAACTTGTGTATGGAATGCTTGAATGTACATTGAGCACCCTTGATTCAGGTATTCATTTAGACTTGATGATTCTGACAGTAACTTTATAATTATAAGAAGTGTAAATTAGAACAAATTACACAGATAAAAAACAACAGAGATCATTTACATTTTGGTATTTCAAATGTGTGGTTATGGCACAAGATTTAAAATTCTTCAGCATTATCTAAACTGAAGAAAGTAATCGGTTTTTATCAATTTGCTAGGACATGTAAATATATAAGTATTTAGTTAATGGTTGCTGAATCTGTAATATCTGATATTGATCACAAGATAAATCTTGTCTCATGTAAGACTTGGTGCAAAAAGCATTCATCATAATAGATTGTTCGTGATGTTTGTCTAATTGAGGGAATGGTTAAAAACTATTTAAGATTAATATTGGGTATTTTAACATACGTGTATGCTTTGTTCATAGTCTTCAAAAACAACTCATGCTTTTTACATAGCATCAGCTTTAATACCTCATAGGTTGATTTGTAAATAATACAATTTGAGTATGATCACCAGAATATTGCCACAATGATAATGTAATTATACAGTTTATCATCAATCATTACATTGCCATTACTGCTGCTTGTTCATCACACATTATAATAGTCATACCTATACTAGCTATTAGTTGTATTTGTGCCTATATTTGAAAACAGTTAAACAGATTGACATTCTGATTAAAGAATAATATTTCTGGTTATCATTTAAGTAGATTAATAGAAATAATGTCACTGGTACTTGTTTAAGTATTTTATGGATAATTGTAAAATATTAATAAATTAATGGACCCTTGAATCAAATCTAGCATCAGATAATATATGTACTGCAATGGCTACAATGTGTTCAGTGCAAATGCTTTTCTACTACTGCCATGCCAGCAGGTCCATACAAATCATTCCTATTCTTATCATCCTCACAAGTATGGCTAAATTATTTATTTATCATAGTTAATCTACTTGCATGAGTCATCGCTATATTCACATCTGAAGTCAGATTCATAAATACATTTGAGACAAAAAATCATATCTTAGTTTGTTAATGATCAAGATTGCATTGTAATCAAGTGTCCTTGAGACAAGAAACAGACTGCAATCTAAGTAAAACTGTAGCCACATGTATCTCTCAGTTTCCTTGTAATGAGGTTAGGGGCTGTTCATAATTTATGGCTAGGGGTGTGTGATGATGATTTTTATGGAGAAGCATGTGCAATGTGAATGACCCACCCACCCACCCACCCACCCCTAAAGTTTATGTACAAAATAAGTGACCCTCCTGTATGTCATGTACAAAATCAATGACACCCCCTTCCCTTCCCATAATTTCTAAGCATAATTTAAAACATACTTTTTTTGTGTACAAAATTGCTGACACCCCCACCCCCAGTATGTGTGTACAAAATTGATGAACCCAGAACAAAATGGGTGACACACACACACACACCCTTAAAATCATCATCACCCCCCTAGCCATAAATTATGATCAGTCCCTCATTACAGATTTTCTAATACCCCATATCATATTATCTTAATTAGCACAGATTGTTTTGATCATGTGATTGTTATTGCTGATTTTACCATCCTATACAACTCCACATAGTGGACTTCATCCATCATCCTGCTTGATTTTATGGGGCTGTACATTTCGCATTCTAATCATTTTTATTTGTTTAGATTGTTTAGCTCATTGAGTGCTGTTTGAGTTAGAGTGACCATCCTATGATGGTTATACAGTGTGCATATTTACTGTCAACATTCCTAGAATCAGAATAAAGTATTTTAGATACTTAACTAAGTTCTTGTGTTATTGAAATCAGATTTGGGCATGGAAAGGGAGTGATTACCACAACAGTGTCCATGACCTGCGGATTAGACAACACAGTATACATTTATAGTACTTGTTTGTGGGATGTTATGTAATTTAAGGATGGATCTGGCCACTTTTCAAAACGAATCTATTTCATCTGAAAGTACTCAGAGAAAGCGGGTGGTGCACCTACTCACATTCCTATTACCAAAAATACAACCTTACTCGGGACTGATAAAACCCCGTATTTCCCTCGACAGGATGTGATAACTTATAGTGCGATGGGAATATAATCAAGAGTGAGTGTGGCTTTAGGCCGCTTTTTGCAACATTCCACTAATATCACAGCGTGGTGGGCGAGCTGGCTAATGCGCCAGGATAGTGATCCAGCTAGGGTGAGGTGCCGGGTTCGAGCCCACCTGTGACCGGGTGTAAAAACCTTGGAGTCAACTTTGTGTGCAGACTCTTTCAGTGTTGTCACAACCCCCAGTGTACAGTACACAGCCCAGTGCACTTAAAAGAATCCACGAATCCGTTGGTATATGACCAGATGGTGGCCACATGAATACGTGCAAACACCTAGTTGCGAGTACAGCAACGTGCAGTGAACTTGGACAAAGTACTGTGACTGTGTGTTCCAGTCCACCCAGCTGTGAATGGGTACCTCATAAGGATGGGAAGCCGCAATAACTTCGGTGCCTTGTGGCAGCAAGAGTTGTATGATCCCCACGGAGCTGAGATTGATAATAAGATGTGCCCTTGAGATTGACATCCAATGATCGAGGGCAAAAATACCAGCGCCTTGAGCATGCACTAGTGCTTGGGTATGTGCGCTATATAAATATCCAAATATATACACAGCTGGGAAACAAAAATGGGCTTTACACATTCTAGCCATGTTGGGAATCGAACCCAGCCTTTGGTGTGACAGGCTATCACTACCCCCACCGCCCGCTGTATCACCAAGAAGCATAGGCTGTTCCATAACAATATATATATACACCACAATCGTAAGATCCAGTACATTTTACCAGATTTTAACTGAACTAAACACTGACACAGCTCCAACAAGGAACAGCAATATTTCTGATCGGGCGTTATGCATATGCAGTCGGTGTCACATAATGATATAAACTACATTCGTTTGAAAATGTTTTCCATTGCAAAGACCATCCCATGGGTAATATACTCAAAATTCAGCTGTGAAATGTTCTGAGTTCTGCAGACGATACCTGATAGCACGGATCTTCTGGTGTGAAAAAGAGTCATCAACAACAGAAATCATCTTGTCCCCTTGCGAACTGGTTGCCAAAAAAGGTTCTTTCTTTGGGAAGAAATGGAAAAAGGAGACAACAGATATGTACACTGGTGTGCTATCTGGTGGAACAACATACCATTAGTGAGTTCTCCACGATGTCTAATATTGAAATTCTCACTCAGTACCAAAGGAGAAGAGCATAATATTGGCCAACAATGGTCTTAACTTTCTTTAGGCAGTCCACCTGAATGATTCCTTTGGAATCCCAGGAAAACAGAAGCAGTCACGTTGTTAGCTGACGGAACAAACTTTGCCTTCTTAACTCGAGTGATCGATATCGATTTCACTGATTTGGCTGTTGTGTGGTCTCTGGCTGATGCTGGTCAAATCAAGTCTCATGCAGGGATAGAGTTCGCACAAAAAATGGTGGTTCTGCTTAAAAACGACATACATTGTACAAGAGATGATGAACAAAGGGCGTTTCTGATCAGGAGACAGAAGTCTTGAATGAAGCCTATGTCGTGCCCAATTTATTCCTCAGAACGTGTTCAACTTACTCTTAAAAGATGCCTACTCCATTGGCTATGTGGTGTGTGCTGAGTCGTCGACCATCCAAAATCGTCTAATATTACCCAACATTTACGTTTAGTAGTGGCGACAGTTAGATGTCTTCGTAATCTTGGATCATATTCGAGGCTCTCTTCCCCTCTTAAACTCCGCCAGGAAAAGTGAGTGAGTGAGTATGGTTTCACGCTGCTTGTAGCAATATTCCAGCAACATCACAGCGGGGGACACCAGAAATGGGCTTCATACATTGTACCCATGTGGGGAATCATAGGAAAAGAACGGAATATGGATGGCTGAATGAGTTAGCCATTAGAGAGGCTTAATGACAATTCTTACCCAGTTCTGTCCGTTTTCATCACTACGGAATGTCTAGTCCATTTGAGTCCTTCAAATATATGCTGCATGGTTGTATATTTAATTCGGATGAAGCTCCTGCGTATTGGCTTTTCAGGAATCCCTTGTACCACGGATCCATACTGAGTGAGTGAGTGAGTGAGTTAAGTTTTACGCCGCACTCAGAAATATTCCAGCTATATGGCGGCGGTCTGTAAATAATCGAGTCTGGACCAGACAATCCAGTGATCAACAGCATGAGCATCGACTGGGCAACTGGGAACCGATGACATGTGTCAACCAAGCATAGTCGCCTTTTGTGGCAAGCATGGGTTGCTGAAGACCTATTCTACCCCGGATCTTCACGGGTGCGCATCCATACTGAACAAAAAAGACTTCCGGATCATGAAAATTTAGGGGAGCATGTCTTGTAGGGAAGACTGACTTTCTTAAAATTAGTACGGTATATACATGTACAAATGTTTAAGATCCCTGACTTGTTATATTCAGCATATTTCATCTCGCAGAAGATTGAATATCCAACATGCGTGCGTTTTTGTAATGGAACGAGGGTAGTCTAGTCCACTCGTCACACCGAAGGCCCATGTTCGATTCCCCACTTGGTGACAATTTCTGGCGCCCTCCGTCGTACGTGATATTTGCGGGAATATTGCATCTAACGTATATCGTCATTTCGAATGGAATCATAAGCGAGTTCTCTATTTTACAGCTAGTTACCAAAGGCGTTAAGTGTTGATAATATTGATTATGTTAATTGGAATCATTCAATTTCAGTATTTAAAAATGTATCATCGAAATCGCCCTACCCATTTGCAGGATGATTATAAAATTCATCTTTTGAAATTTTAGTTTTGGAAACTTTACGCAGGCATTGAAGATTGTATGGAAGTGAAAAATCTATGTTCAGTTCTTCCTCCTATAGTTGGATATAAAATATATCAATGAGATTCTTAGACAGGCGAATATACTGAGAATTTCACATTCAGTAAAACGGCAATAATAAATGTTCACACAGATAAATGCTATAGGTTGATATTTCCCATATGAACATGGCTCTCATTGCAATTGTTTTCACCCCAATTATGTTGCCTTAATTCATTTATCAATCGTACATAGATTTCATGATTTAAGGAAGGGCACGTCCGATATTTTACAGGAACCATCCAACAATGGATCGGGAGCCTCTACAAAGCTCTGATATTATGCAATCAAAATGCAAGCAATATATTAAAAAATATTTGTTGTCATAACTCTGTCATTTCAAAGTTATTAAAATATCTAACGTTGTTAATATCACGAAGGTACCATTTTCAAATCCCAGGAACCTCTTCTCAAACTGCATGTAAAATAGCATTGATAAACACTTGTTACCCAACTGAATCAACGCATCAATAGGAATGTGTTGACTTGCTTCTCACAGCCGATATTGACCAATCGAAACACAGTCTCACATCGAGACTCATTTTCATTGGTCGCGCAGCTGCCAAAATGGCTGCATTTGGACGATCTTCATTCGGAGAATGAGTAAGAAGCATCGTATCATCGCGAGACGACGTTTCTATTCAAAGGTATTCAGTCACGTAGAGGAGTGTAGATATGTCAGTTCTGTTCCGGGTTGTAATTTACCTCGATAGCTCAGCAATTACCGTGTATTTGCTCCGTGTAGCCCGATAGTTGAGCCGCCTAAACACCGGCGACAGGCAGGGCTCTTGACAAGAAACGAGGCCTGCTTTCGTCGGTCTACCTCTCCGAGTTTTACTCACTGACCTCAACACGTTTCTTGTTTATTTGCGTGATTCTTACGCTTGAGATGTGTACAGCTTTCCCAGCTTGACTTTACGACAGAAAATACAGCTGACATTCTGCCGTTTTTGCACGACCTCCGTGCATGTGCTGTATAAATACCGCATTACCGTGAACTACCGTATTTACCCTAAAGACACGATCGATAATTATATAACACGGTCACATTCATACCCAAACCCAGTCACTCTTAGGGCAGAAAATAGTTTTAAAATGACTTTTGATTTCACGTAATACGTTTGTCGCAGCTTTGATGCAAATATATAATCAAGTTTGTGTAAGGACAAGTGATGTCTAGTGTAAATTGATACAGTTAGGTATCATACTTACTGTTAATGTTTTATTAAAATTGCCCCATTTGAGAAAAATAATCATGTTTTAAAAACATGCTGAAAGGACATTACACTAAACGTTTACTGATATTTTACATTATACAATCCACTTCCTGTACAGAGATTGAGATTGTTGTTTATGTTACTCAGCACAACTATTTGAGTCTTAGAGATGTAACAAAATTTAAATGTTATAATCCATAAATCTGAATGAATATTCTTAACTGTTGTTATAAGATTCACCTGGTTTAGGACAGGGCAAATACATATACAGTCATGTACCAATATATCAGATGAGCTTGCTGCATATTATATATGCATATAATTAGTAATTCCATAGGCAAAGTTATATAGATGTTGCTATATAAAATGTACAGATGATAAAGTGAGCAAGTGTAGTTTTCTGCTTTTTGTAATATACAGCAGTGTCCTGATTGGGAGTAGGAGAACTAGAAATGAAATACTATGAGGTGTAAGTTTCATACATAAATTAACAAGACACCTCACAGTTAAGGAGCATATCCGTGTAAAATCTTTTGATGAAGCAAGTCTTATAAGGTGTAGTTCTACACCACAATCACTATTATGAAATCACAACCCTCTGTGTTATATAAAGTATATATTATGTCACAGTTGTACAATGTATATAGAAAGATGCCAAATTTCATCTCTGGTTTCCCCAAATTTTAAAACCACTCCTTCTTTCTCTATCTAATTTTCTCCAAAACATGTACAGCCACATATAATATACAATCATCACTGTATTTAGTGTGAGTGAGTTAAGATTTAAAGTCACATCAGCAATATTTCAGCCATATCGTGACTAAAACTAGTTCTCAATTTATAATACATACATATAATATATAAAACCCTGTCAACAAAGGACAGTAAAACCACTAGATTATCACAGATTGAGTTAAAACTAGCTAGCATATATCTTTAAAAGTAGAAAATTATTTCTGGACAATACAATGTAAAATTGGGCTATAGATTGCCAACAACTGAAGGTAGATCACCATACTAGGGACCTGTATTTAGTAACCTGAAAGTGTATATCATGTGCACAGTAATGCTTCAAAATGTTTACCAACCACCATTGAGTGAGTGAGTATGGTTTCACGCTGCTTTTAACAATATTCCAGCTATGTCATGGTGCACCAGAAATGGGCATCACACACTGTACCCATGGGGGGAATCGAACCCAGGTCTTCAGCATGACGAGCGGACGCTTACCCATTAGGCTACCCCACCACCCACCAGCATTGAGAAGGAGGTTCTTTCCTATAACTTTTCCATGTAGACAAACACATGCAGGGGGCATTGGGCCACTGGGCAGCTTGGTCAGATCATGCAGTGGAAGCTTTGGTATAAATATCCAGAGTACCTTATCGCTGATGGACTAACGTTAAACCAGTCAAAGTAGAACAACACTAAACAAAATACTTTCAAAGTCTTAAAAACTCCCCAAAACAAGGTCATGCAAATAATGATATACATATCTGTACAGTGTGAATGTCAACATTAATTATCTACTCCAACTTTCCCCTTTTGATTAATTTCACTTTGTTTTCTGTTCCACAGTCCTATCAAGCATGGAACTAAAGACTCCAGACACAGAGGAATGAAACCATGATTCATTTACGATTGGGTAATATTTTCTGCTTCACAAACTGGAAATTATTATGTGGATGATTGAGAATTATCTGAAGTGTAAACAAAGTTGAGAAATCTGGTCATGACATCTTAGATAGAAAGATGTCAGACACCGAAAATGCTGCCTTGATAACACGCCTGTACAGTGAGATTGGCACCCCTGAATCTCATTCTGTTCAAGTTACGGTACAACTGGACCAGGAAGGTAATTCAGTCATTAATATTCCTGAAGCTAGCCCTGCTAAGGATGACTCGGTCACATATTGCTACAGATGTGGTCTGTGTCAGCTGGACTTTGTGGCCTACCAAGAACTAACCAACCATCTGAAGCACCTTCATTTAAGGAACCATCAGTTTTCTTTTAAGGGGAAAGATAAGGATTATTACAACTTCAAACATGTCATTGTCATCACTGGAACAGAGGCGTTCCAGTGTGAGTTGTGTAATGTTCAGTTTGCAGAGTCTGAACTTGCCAGGGAACATTTTAACACCCATCATGGATCTCCGCATGACACATGTGTTGATGATGTGGTTGAGGAAGAGATTCCAGATAAGAAGAGCAGTCAGGTCAAGAAGCCCTTCCTGTGCAATGTCTGTGGGAAAGGATTCAGTAAACAGTCAAATGTTGCACGTCACAAGAAAACTCATTCATTTGAAAAGTGTAAATACTGTGATAAAATGTTTTTGATTCATTCAGATTTGGAAAAGCATCTGCTTGGTCACAAGGAAAATTGGACAGATTCAGTTGAGTTTCAAGTTGATGAATCCAAGGAAAAAGGTGAAGAATGTTTTAATGGAATTGTCAGCAATGTTGGAATGTCCACATCAAATGATAATCTCAATACAGAGGGGAAAGGCGAGGAGCAGACGTCAATTTTAGAGCAGACACAAGAAATAAAGGGCACCCAGGCTTCAGCTGAATCTTTGACTGATGATCAGACTGATGGAAATGACAACTTTTCTGGAGATGATTTTGATGAGATGATCTCATTTGGAGATGCTGCTGCTGATGTAATGTTAGATGACGGAAAGAAATTTACATGTCATGTCTGCGGTAAAACTGTAAATGGGAAGCAACAGTTCAATAATCATGTGGCAACACATGATGGACAGTTTAAATGTGATTTGTGTGAGAATGTTTTCAAAACTGTGGAGGAGCTTGATGATCATGAACTCACTCATGAAGGAGAGGATTTATTTAAGTGCAGAGTATGTAGCCGAACTTTCAGACAGACGCGGCATCTCAAACTCCATCTTAAAATTCATGTCGATAAGTTCAAATGTGATGAGTGTGGTGAAACATTTCCCATGTATTCGTCACTGAGAGAACATGTACGGACCCACATTGAATCTGCTCCATTCAAGTGTGATATCTGTGAGAAAAGGTTTACTTTAAAAACTGCCTACGTCGACATTACTCAATTCATTCAGGTGAAAAACCACATAAGTGCAAACACTGTGATAAATGTTTTCGGTTGGCTAGTAGTCTTCGATACCATGAGCGGGTTCACACAGGTGAGTTTCCATTGAAGTGTGATTTCTGTGATAAACGTTTCCGCTTGAGCCAGGCTCTAAAAAAGCATGTTGCCAGTTTCCATGCTTCAGTGAAACCCTACAAATGTGATATTTGCAAAAAGGGATTTGTTGAAAAGGGTCGTCTCACAGCACATAGAAGCAGGGTCCATTTTGGTCAGAAAAACAGAAAGACGGGTAGCAAGTCTGAGTCATCTGATGAAAAACACTCTTCATTTGCATGTATGGTGTGTAAAGAGAGACTGAAAGACGCGAATGATTTAGAAAATCATCTCAGATCATGTCCGTCTCAACATAAAGAAAACAACGGGCTTGTTCTGGAGGAAAGAGTTGACAAGAATGAACAGCCGAAAATTTTCCTGTGCGTGAAATGTGAGAAAGGGTTCAGCTCTTGTGAGAAACTACTGGCTCATATGAGAAGGCATGGAGAGCCGTCTTGGCTAAATAAGGCTGGGTCTTGTCGTCAGTACGTGCCACATCTGCAACAAGACTGTCAACCATCTTCAGAAACACCTGGTCACCCATATGGGTCTAAAGCCATTCAGCTGCGAAGTTTGTGGCAAGTCCTTCCCAGAAAGATACATCCTCACCAAACATATGAAAAGTCATTCTACAGTCCGGCATTATGAGTGTAAACTCTGCAACAGTGCTTTCAAGAGAGGTGATAATCTCAAACGCCACCTCAAAGTGACTCATAACGTTGATCCCGAGAAATATGAAATTAAAAATATCACATCAACAAAATCGAAAACCTACATGTGTAAGAAGTGTGATGTTAATTTCACGGATGAGGATGAGTATAAGCAACATAAGAAAAGCCACAACGAGAAAGTGCCAGCTATTTGCAGCATGTGTGGGAAGCTGTTCACGAACATGGTTCACCTCAAAAGCCACATGAAGATCCACGCGAATTGGAGACCGTACATGTGCGAAACGTGTGGAAAGACTTTCACAGAAAACAGTCAGCTGAAGAAGCACATCCGCATCCACACTGGAGAGAAGCCGTATTCGTGTCAGTTTTGCGACAAATCCTTCTCTCAATCATGTTCTCTAAACAACCACATGAAGAGTCACCAGTTTGTTGGAGACACTCCCTTCAAATGTCATCTGTGTTCCGCATCCTTCGCGTATTGTGGCGAGCTGGAGAAACACAAGAGGGGCCACATGGGGACTGATGTGTTTGGTTGTGGCTTGTGTTGTAAAAAGTTCTCTCACCCAGATGACCTCAAGCACCATGTTGATACCCATTTGGAAAAGCCGTCTGAACTGCCAGCTGATTTACCAAGTCAGTCTGGCGTCTCTAGTGAAAATGTTACAACAGAGGACATGTCCCTATCCACCTGACTCTATGGTTACCATGTCCTATGGGGCTCCTTTGGGAGGACCAACAGGAAACTTTGACAGTCATGTCACAGGCAATATGACTGTAGGGGCAGACCTGAGTGGTCTGACCGGTCCTATGGTAACAGCTCCTCCTGTTGCCATGGTTACTGGTATGGAACCGTGCATGCCCCTCCCTAGAGCTAGCATGACCCAGAGTATGAACATGCACCATGTCCAGGCTTTGATGAGAGAAGCTGAGATGATGATACAAAATGCTCATCAGAATCAGTGAGACATCAAAGGTTGATATTGGTTGTATTCAGTTCATTGCTGACCACCAGGATTGAATATCAGGGTTTGTCGTTACCAACCTTATGATAAAGACTATGGTATGGTGAGACAGTGGTCAATAAATAAACTGGTCCACTTGACAACAGACTTAGTTATTCAGCCTGTTCTCTCTACATTCAGTTACGATACATAACCTTAACACAATTGCCACCAAAACTTAGTTTTAAGTCTGGTTTGGATGATGCAATAATTACAAAAAGCTACATTTCATACTTCTTGACCTTCCCTCTTTGTGTGCAGTCTAGCAAATTCGAACATTCTGAATAGTTATGAAAACTGTTTTTCCAACACTTAAAGTCATTCTTCTGCTTTCATGATTAAATGTTAATTTATTCAGTGATTGTTCACTTGAATGAAGCTGTTATCAGGAAGTAGATGTGATAAACTTGCATTCAGCTATCTTCAGAATAATTTTGGTTGATTGTAAATGTCGAGGTCATGACAAAATGTTAGTATGGTTCGTAATAAACGGGAAGATGGCAACATTACTTATTATACTGACAAAATATGGTGATGGAAAGGCACAGGTTATGTAGAATGGAGATATAGACAGACATAATCATGTTTAACTTAACAAAGGTCAGTGAACATTTATGAGCATTTATAAAAGCAACTTATAAGTCAAAGCAACCCAGGAACATTGAAGTTGGAACTGATCTTTGGCAACCCATGCTTTTCATAAGAGGTGACAAACTTGGAATGGGTGATCACTGACTTGGATGATGCCTGTCATTGTATACCAGTTGTGTAGATCAATACTTATAGTGTCAAACACTGGACAGTTTGGTCTAGACTCGATTATTTACAGACAGCTGTCATAGAACTGAAATATTGTTGAGTGCAGTTAAACAAGAAACTAATTTTAAGTCAAGTTTGTGGGACTGACTAGTTGAAAATATGTATGACTTTCACAAGATATTTCTGCAGATATTGTTGGAGACATCTGCAAATAGTGAATTCCGTTAAGCATTCTTTGGAAGATCTGGTATATTTTTGTGCGCAAGTTTTTTCCCTCTGTTTGCTGCTTCTGTTGATTACCCCAAAACATGTGACCTGTCCCAACCTATTCTTGAGCTCAATTTTAAATATCGACCAAACAGGAGCACAAATATTTCTAACAAAGTTGTTTTTCTCAGTGATGAAATGGACAAGAGAAACAACCATCTTTCCTATGCGTTTCAATTGTCCGGTTCGTTCATTAAAGCCAGAAGGACAGTGATTGACCACCTCGGCAATTATTACATAGTCACCATTACACAGAATCAGACCGTGAGACAGGTCACCTCCTATAACCATCTAATCATCTTGCTGTGAAATTAGGTTTGTGGTTTAACACTCCACTCCGCAATAGTGTAGCAAAATGACGACAGTCTGTAAATATTTAATGATCAAGTACATCCCTTGTTGATATTTTGAGCAATTAATCCATGCTCTCAGTGTATGATGACACGCAAAAAAAACCAAGTCATCAAGCCTGACCACTTCATCCATTTAGTGGTTCATTATGACCAGTACAGTTCAGCCAGTTAATATAATCATTTGGGCACTCGACCACTGTGCAGACCTGAGAAGGTAACTCACACTTGTCCGTGTTCCTTGTTACATGTCCACATATCGCTCCCTTGTTCTCCAGGTACATAGACAATGTCATATTTTACAGAGTAAAATAGATTTTGATTACGGTATGGTACGAGTAACGTCCCTTGCCTCTACAACAGTATCGCTGCAGTTATCTCCCTTATATTAGCATCAGCACCCGCACGGCTTCAGGCTTTCAACATCACGGAGCAGTGATAAATTGTATCGAAAATGTCATCAAAAGAGGTTTCAGAGCAAACCGACGTGAAACCGAAACACCAGAAAGCTGGACTAAAGATGATGGAAGCCCTAGAGTCGCTAAAACCTTCTCCGCAGACTAGGCAAACCATGTCGTCTGGTAGCCCGCCACTGCATCATGCATCAGACAACGACATTGAACTAGCAATATCAGTCAAAATAGGCCACAATGAATTAAACAAAACTAAATAGAGAAGACAGAATTGTCACTATCTTTGCTACAAAAAACCCCAAACAATTATAACTTTATAACAAAATAATTTATTTCCTTCAATTCCATGAAGTAAACTATATACATTCATAGGAAACCATTCTCTCGGTACAAACATGCATGTCAATCACGATCCCTTCACAAAACGATTGACATAACTGAGTACACAATCCATACAAAACAAAATTTTCTTGACATACAAAACATTTAGCTGTATTCTTGACAGTCACACAAAACATCAGTTGTTCCAGCACTTCATGCCTCCAGCAAGTTACACCACAGATGAAGCTGAGCATATGTTATGTCAAACATCTATACCTATCAATCAAGTTTAGCTCACTTATTTTGAAAAGAAAATCCAAGAAGTTCCTTCAGGAAGGGACATAAAATATCCACACACAATTCTTCGTTATTCAGATGACTTTGCTGAGTGAGTGAGGGAGTTAGGTTTAACACAGCTTTGAACAGTATTCCCGCTACACAATGGAGTAATGTGTAGACAGCACATACTGTAGGACACTGGCAGGTGAGTATTAGGACCGCCATTACAGCCCCTATAGTCTCCGCCAGAGCTAGACTTCATTGTACTTCTTCAGTGTGAGTCTGGGTATGATGTTCATGGACTGGAGTTCCTGGAACAGAAGCTTGCAGGCGTACGGCATCTTCAGTGTGGAGACGGCCTTGGACGACTTGCAGTACTGACACCTAAACAGGCAGAAACACAGGTCTCGTTTGACAGAAATTGCTTTATGATCCAGCCAGCAATATTGCATCTATATCATTGTTACACATTAATCTGGTTTGTTACAGATTTGTTCAGACCGCTGCCATATAGCTGGAATATTGCTGAGTGCGGCTTAAAACTAAACTCACTCACAGATTTGTCCCCAATAAACTGAAGGCCTTCACTTGGGTTTATTAAGGCAAATTCACGAAAACCTGGTACAAACTTCATTTGTAATTGGTAAAGGTGTTCTAGGCATGTTAGCTGATGAATATTTTACACTAAAAATTATTATTATTATGCAGCCACTAGGCACTGAGTTAATGTTAGAAGGTTTACAAATGTAATACTGACCACCCTGAGTATCCAAGAAGGCCACACTCGCCACACACGTCCACCTCGAAAGCATCGCTGGAGATCATCAACCTCTCCAACAACAGCATACTGTCACAGAACATGAAGAACATCAACCAACATTCAAAAAACATTATGTATTCTTCAAAATATTGGTAAATTTTGATATGACTGAAGCAAGACTTAAACCATTTCCAACAACACTGACAGCAATTACATCTGACACTGACATAAGCCTACCTTGCACCGTATCCAATGAGACAGTCCCTCTCCATCTCCCCCAGACGAAGCCCCCCGTCTCTGGACCGCCCCTCAGTGGGCTGGCGGGTGAGGACGGCCGGGAGGGCCCCTTGGCCCGGGCGTGCATCTTGTCCATCACCATGTGCTTCAGCTTCTGGTAGTACACCGGCCCAAAGTAGATGTAAGCTGTCAGCGGCTCACTGTGGGAACATGGCAGGAAGTTAACTACATGTACTTGGTTGGTTGGTTTGTTGTTTTAACGCTGCACTCAGCAATATTCCAGCTATATGGCAGTGGACTGTAAATAATCTCGACCAGACAATCCAGTGATCAACAGCATGAGCATTGATCTACACAACTGGGATACGATGACATGTGTCAACCAAGTCAGCAAACCTGACCACTCGATCCGCATGGGTCACTGATGATCAATTTTTACCCGGATCTTCACATGTTCTTGCATTGTGCACTTGGAACGAACTGAAGGGACTGGGACACACTGGGCCAGAGTGGTATCTTAAGGGTATGTGTAAAATATCATAGTGAGTGAGTTGGGTTTTACGCTGCTTTTTGCAATATTCCAGCAATATCATGGCAGGGGACACCTGAAATGGGCTTCACACATTGTGCCCATGTGGGGAATCAAACCCAGGTCTTCGGCGTGACGAGCGAACACTTTAACCACTAGGCTACCACACCGCCTGTAAAATATCATAGAAAGTGGCCATGTAATATGGTAAGGAAATAACTACATGTAACACAGTCTTAGAATAACAAATGACACCTAATGGTACAGGCATGATACCTAACGGTACAGTCTGACCCTTACATAACCATACAGATGACCTTAACACATAACAGAAGGACTAACCCTGTGATTCCTGAAGTCACATAGTCTTTGCCGAGGTAGTTGAAGCCATGATCCACCAGCACCTCAGACAGGTCAGTCACCTTGTCCCCTCCAAATGCTGAAGTAGATATCATGTATGCACACTACCATGGTCATGATGACAACAAGCTCAAAAGTCAGACCTAAGTTTGCCAAATTCTTTTTCTTCTGTATCCTTTCATCTCATGTTGCAGATGCTGTTTTTCAACCTTACTTCATTGAATGCAACCAGCAGAGAAAACTCTAGATGTAAGTTATTAACTACCAGGTTTGGTCTTGAAAAGCACATCATCACAGAATACAACAATATCACAGACAGTGAAATAAACTCACACACAGCATGGGTGGCCCAGCCACTGAAATGCTGAAATAAACTGGCACACACAGCATGGGTTTGGCCCAGCCACTGAAATGCTGCAATTTTGCTGTGCAGAGTTACCTCCCTTTGGCACACCAGAAACCTGTGATTGTGGGTTCACAGCCCACTTTGCCACAATTACGGTTTTAGGTTTGTCAACAACCTAACCAGGTTTGTTAGCACGATACCTGTGCAGAGGGTTTTTCTCACACATTAAACTGAAGTGGAATCTTGTTGAAAGCGACAGTAAACCAAACTGTCAACCACTAAGAAGTTTCTCTAAATGTTTAATGAAGAAACATTAACTCATGAGGCACTGCTACTTCACCTGTAGATGACACTCACCTGTTCCGTAGTGGAACTTTCCCTCCAACACACCAGCCTTGCCTCCTAGTAACTCGATTAGCTTTCCGACTGTCATACGTGACGGAAAACCATGGGGGTTCATGATCTGTACATCAAACATATTTAATATGAGCATTGAGGATCAATTGTCTACACCCATCCTACCTCCCCTGCATTTGCCAGTGAAATCAGTTAAAAATAAGAGTTAGGTCATTTGTTGACTGATAAATACTCAGAACATTAAATAACATATTATAAAAGTGAAATATGGCAGTCAAAATCTAGTTTTCCTGGCAGTAGTTATCTGAATTAAAGGCAGAACTGTTGGCTGATTGTTTGTCAATACTTACAATGTCTGGACATATTCCCTGAAGTGGAAAAGATAAACATTTGATTGAAACATGTTAAAGTTTACATATGATTTACATGAAGATGTGACTGACATTCATTAATCTTTTCTCTACAGCACAGGTCTGAGAAGAGTAGAATTTTCAAGTCGACATAGATAATGAACCCAAAGCAGATTTACCATTACTGTTTCTTTAGAAGTTTGACTTACCAGATCAGTGAAGGGCATGTCTTCTTGGGGAACAATGAGACCACAGACTCTGCAGGAAACATTACAGTGTTAATATGGAACTTGTATTACATCTGAAGTGCCCAGTAAAGGAAGTTCCAAGTCAACTGACATGTATGTACTCAAATGTTAGTGTATTACACTATGGCTTGAGGTATTCAGGGCCTCTGCTACACAGATTGGGTTACTTAGGACCTATTTTGTCCAGAATCTCTGAGGTGTCAACCTTACACTATTTGACTATTTTCCACTACACTAGCCTGTCTGACAGACAAGGTCTCCTCACCCCTTCTGCCCATGTCGACTACTGAACTTGTCCCCGATCTCGGGTCTGCGGGTCTGTCTCTGCAGGATCTTGATGAGGAAGGCTTCCTCTGGGTTGGCTGTGATCAGGACCTTCTCCACATAGCAAGCCTCTGGGGCCTTGTACCTGCATCATGATATAGCAATTAACAGAAAGTAGCCATTAACTTCTTGTACTCCTATAGCGACATGCTTGAGTGTGTGCAGGTGGACTAATCTTGAGTGATGCTGGCTGTACAGTGCTGATCCACTGTGACATCGTGCTACAGTTTAGCATGGATACCCGGACTCCAAACCTTGATCTATAATCTTAACAGGTGAGGTGAGGTGAGGTGAAATTGGGTTTAACGTCGTGCTTGAGAATATTTCGCTCATATGACGACGTGCATGCGTGTGTGTGTGTGTATGTGCGGCTGCTTGTACTAGCCCAGACTTAAGCTGGTTTTATAGTGCTAGCCCACTGAGATACCATGCCGCAGTGAAGCATGAATACCCCCCTCAGACACATTATACTGACCAGTCCTTGTTGTACCCATTAATGCCGAGAGCCAGGCAGGGACCAACAAGTACCATATTTTAATGTCTTTTGGTATGACGAGGTCGGGTATCAAACCCGCGACCGTCCGCTCTCTTGGCGGATGCTCTAACCACTACACCACGGAGGCGGTCTATAATCTGAACAATGAATAACAATGGCACCATCACAATGTCTTTTGGTATAACATAGCTGGAGATCATAACATATGTTTCCACATGCCGCAAATCACCGCGGCAGTCGCTAGTAGAGTATAGGGTGTCAGTAGTGAGCACATATCATTTATAAGCTGATAAGTGTCAGTGTGACTTCACATCAAACATACGCTGCCGCCCATCAGACACAGGATCAGCCAACCTATTTACAGGGCATTTCTAAAATAATTACTGGCCTCATATTGATAAGTTATATAATGAGTGATAACAAGAACCTTTACTGTTAGAGTAGTATGTGTAACATTGTGGCTAAAGACAACAGCTGGAACATACTCTATGCCACATTAAACCTTTCATTGCGACTCACGTGACTGGGACATCTCTGTATTCTGGCTGTTGTGGCTGACCAGAGGTGGATGTGAGGGTTGTCATGGTGACAGTTGGCATTGCTTTGTTGATCATCACTTGTTTATTTTCTATCCTCTCTCCTGCAAATAAGACGTCATCATAAACCACAGCTCATAACAAATAAAGAGAAGACAACTGTTTCTTTAAATTTGAGGTAGTCTCAGTGTAGAATAACTAAAGACATCCTAATTTGGAACTGACAACTTTTGGAAGTATCTTAATTTGTCCAAAATCTTCACAACTAAAAGTCAGTATCCTGACTAACTATTGTATCCTCCCAACTCACCTATAGTATCCTCCCAACACACATGTAGTATCCTCCCAACTCACCTGTAGTATCTTCCCACTCACCTGTAGTATCTTCCCAACTCACCTGTAGTATCTTCCCAACTCACCTGTGCGATCCTCCCACCTCACCTGTAGTATCCTCCCAACTCACCTGTAATATCTCCCAACTCACCTGCAGCATCTGTCAAACTTACCTGTAGTGTCCTCCTACCTCACCTGTAACACCCTACTACATGTCACCTCACCTGGGGCACAGATCCCGTCAGCATCCAGGGCCTCGTGTCTCCAGATAGGCTTCCTTGTTGTCGCCCAGGAGAGGACCTTTCACCTTGTCAAAAGTCTGGTTGGCGTACCGCTTCAGACAACATGTCTGCTTCCTGTACACCAGACACCGGCCAAAACCTGTTCCATGGTGACAGAAAAGGAATGCATCCTTACTAATGAACATGTTACTTCTACCATCCTGTATCTTTAAGACAAGACATATAATGGGCAACAACTTAATCGTATAACTTCAACCTTGTCACTTACATTTATCTACTCAAAACTCTCTCTAATCCATTCAAATGCATGTATATGCGTATATGCCTCTCAGCCTATCATTTTACCAGATAAGGGGCAAGACATAGTCCCTGGAATGCTGTGTGAGTGTATCCACAAAGTTGTTATCCCACTTCTAATCCCTATGCATGGCTCCTCCACTTCTACGGCATGCCCATAATGCTAAGTTTTACATCCATTGGCTCCTACACTTGTGACAAAGTATGTACTACAATATCACTTGCCATAATGTGAATGACTCTACCTCTGTCTAGTGATGCTATGTATAGATATGCTGGTCACTACACTTGGCACTCCACTTTGGGACAAAGGGACAAGGTATGTACTACAACATCACTGTCCATAATGTCGCTAAGTGACTCTACCTCTGTCTAGTGATGCCTTGTTCAACACCAGAGCATCTTCGATGTCATATCCGCTGAAACTCATCACAGCCACTGTCGCATTCTGACCTGCAGGGAGCTTGTCAAAGTTGACCAGTTCAATAGTCTGGAAATACATTCATTGACCTATCATGAAAAAGCTGACCATATAAAAAATCAGGAAAAGTTCAAATCTTGACGTCAAATGATCTAGCATTGTGATTGGTCAAGGCTAAACTGATAATATAATCCAATAATATATATTTGTTTGTTGTTTAACATGCAGCACTAATTCAGCTACCGGGTATATGAAGGCAGCCTGTATTCAAGTCTAGTTATTGAAACTAGTGATTGATATATTGAGCAACGATCCTAGGTTACAGTGACATGTACCACCCAGTCACTGCACATTATAACTTTTAACACCTCATTGAATACCCACAAATGGCGGTAACTGGGGATCTAACTGGAAGCAGACTCATGTCTCCCAAACTGAATGCTTTACTGGGAACATATTCTGCACACAACTTTGTTGTAAATGCTGTACTCAATATTACTGCCATGTGAAGACAGTAGGTAAATACTCTCAATTCCGAACCAGACAATTCAGTGATCCACATCCTATTCTGTCCATCAAAGGGACATCACTATGACTGACATGCTGGTGAGCCTCATCCTGGACTTGACTAACAACATGAATGGTTTACAAGGAACATTCTGCCCACATTTCTGTGAGTCTTTCTGTTCAACATTGTCTACCACTGCATTCAGCAATATTCCAGCTACATGAAGGCAGTCCGTAAATGATATGGATCAGACAGTTAAAGGATTGTCATCTTCATCAGTCAAAGGACCATCACTATAAAGAAGCCGTGATCCTGACCTTAGACTTGACGAGGGGGCTCTGTGGGTAGACCAGCAGATACATCAGTGTGTCGATCCGGTTCCTCTGGTTGTACCCTATGGAACCTGCAACAGGGTACATACATCTCCAAGAGTTTAGTGTATCATCGCATTTAGGAATTGCCAGTAGTGCTAGAAGCATTACAAGCAGAGTCAGAGTCTTTTTTTATTTTATTTTGAAGATTACACATATTGGACTGACTGAGTTTGGTTTTACGCCGCTTTTAGCAATATTCCAGCAATATCATGGCGGGGGACACCAGAAATGGGCTTCACTCATTGTACCCATGTGGGGATTCGAACCCGGGTCTTTGGCGTGACGAGCCAAAGCTTTAACCACTAGACTACCCCACCGCCCTACACATATTGGAAAAATCTCTAAAAAATCTTAACAATCCATAAAGGTAAGAATCTATGGAATGTCGACTTCTTTATTTGGAAGACATCTTTATGTATTCCAAATAAAGAAGCTGACATTCCACAGCTTCTTGACTTAATGAGTATCACGTCTAAATGCCATTCAAGGACCATAATCCACTTGGCTCATTTTAGAAAGCAAAGGAGTTGTTTAGAAAATAGTGGCTATATTTGTTAATTATGCATAGGCATGGTGATCATATGGTTTGGTCTTGTTTTACATGATACCTACCCATGGCCTGTTTCCCCATGGCGCACTGGTACGTGTTACGAGGGGACTGGTTGTGGTGGGGGTAGGGGATAAGACCGGCACACACACCCAGGATGGTGAATGGCTCTATCTCCAGGTGGGTAGTGTCACTGAGATGAGAAAATGGAGAAACAATCTTTACAACTAACCCCCTCTGTTTAAAATGAGGTTTTGAAAGTATAACATGAATTCAGCAAGCCAAACACCTATAATGATATATAGATAACATACAAAATGACTCACAACAAAGTCAACTAAAATCTGAAAACAAAAAAACAGCTTTCTGGAAACTGTACATAGAAAGTGAGCATCTGGAACATCAGAGTATATTTGCTGTAGCTCACCTGGTAATGTCCTTTTCGTACAGTGCTATCATACAGTCGTTCTCCTCATTTACATCCAGGTACTCCACAAGACCCTCCTTCAGAAAGTCCTCGAAACACCTGAAATGTGGGAGAAGAGTTGAATATTTTTTAATAATGATTAAGCAGTTTTGCAGCAATTTGGAGTGAATGAATGATCACTACAGAATGATTTCACTACAGATGTTCCACAACAGTCATCAGTTTTCTGAACATAATTAGTGCAGGTCTTACACAACAAAAGTAATATGTATGCCCCCTGAACTTTCACTACACAACAGTACTTCAACCAAGTCAATGATAAGTAGGATCACATGAAGACTACCAGCAACTCATTAAACAGATACCCGATTCTGACAGGGGAGACATGTACATCTCTCAACATTTCTAATTTACACTGGGGACAAGGGTGGGCCAGTTTTACAAGGCACCACACTGACTGTGCAGAGTTGAGTCCCTCAGGCATGCCAGAAACCAATGGTGGTAGAACTGAACATTGCTTCACCCTAATCATGGTATGTTTCTCGGTTTGTAGGCACCATACAAATGTTCATGTTTCCTCTTTCTAGAGTGGCAACTGTCTATGACCAGTATTATATTGAGTTTTCCTCCCACATAGATATGATAAAGCCCATGCCATCATATGACCTGAAAACTATTCAAATTTGAACTCATCTCACTCACAGCCGCCTCCGTGGTGTAGTGGTTAGAGCATCCGCCCAGAGAGTGGAAGGTGGCGGGTTCCATTCCCGGCCGCATCATACCAAAAGACGTTAAAATATGGTACTTGTTGGTCCCTGCCTGGCGCTCAGCATTAATGGGTACAACATGGACTGGTCGGCTCGGAGTCAGTATAATGTGTCTGAGTGGGGTCTTCATGCTTCACTGCGGCATGGTATCTCATTGGGCTAGCACTATAAAACCAGCTTCAGTCTGGGCTAGTACAAGCAGCCGCACATATACATACACACGCATGCACGTCGTCATATGAGCGAATATTCTTAAGTACCACGTTAAACCCCATTTCACCTCACCTCACTCACTCACTCTTACCTAAATCCCTGACTCAGCTCCTTTATATGCTTGTTGGTCACATAGGGTTTTCCATTCTGTACTATGATGTATGGTCTGCAAGAAATATTATCAATGTTTCAAAATTGTGACAAGAAAAAGTTCTAACTTTCAACAATTCTAACACTGACTATGAAAGTAATTTCAAAACCAGTAAAAAGCACTTAATGAGACATTGATTCTGACACAGACCTGCAGACTCGTCCTCCATCAGAGGCGATGTACACACATCGATGAGTATGGTTGGGGAAGATGGACACAAACTCGCTGATGTATCCGGCCCGACGCATCATGCGGAATGTACGGACAAGACGCTTGTAGTCTCGGATGACTCCAAGGATGTTTCCTGCAAGTCATGTCCCACTCGTAAACAATACATATATGATATGTGCCATTGTAGTCATGATATATTTTCCCAATGAAGTCATATTGCTGAGTGCGGCATAAAACTAAACTCACTCAGTCATAATGAAGTCTGATAAGATTTTTTATAAAGTCCTATAGGATTAACACATACTGATAAAAAACACTTAGGGATCTTGAATATTTTGAAGGATGTTCTATGAAATTGTGGGCTCTGTCTTCACTACAGAAAATATCCCCCAACACACTCATGATCCCAAACACTCTTTATTTAGCACGTATTAGACCATCTTCGTCTTACCATTCATGCCAATTATTTCTTTTTCTTTCTATATTTCAAATCAAAACACTGCACATAAATCTTGCTGATTGGCATATTAAATCTTCATGAATGTCACACGTAATAGAAGTGTTGACCAGAGCATGAAGGGAACTAATAATGTAAGGCATCAGGATTTATAAGAGCGTAATGGAGCATACCGTTGAGGAAGACGAGGTAGACATAACAACTGGACATCTCCTCTCCACTAAGCAGCTGGACATCCTCCACACCGAGGTTGAAAGCAAGTCGGATCAATGGTGCCTCATCCATGTCTGTGGTAATGTGAGTCATCAGAGCCAGGTTCTTCACCAGACCACATGCCTACACAATGCAGAGTGAGTGAGTGAGTGAGTTCAGTTTTACGCCACACTCAGCAATATTCCAGCTATATTCCAGCTATATGACCACCCGATCCCGTTAGTCGCCTCTTACGACAAGCATGGGTTACTGAAGGTTCATTCTAACCGGATCTTCACGGGTACACGGGTTGCTGATTGGTGTTATCAGTACATCACATCTGGATATTTTACCTTCTCTGCTCAAACATTTAACGATTAAGTTATACAACCTCACAGTCTACTCTTGCAGTGATTGAATTGTCTTACCAATGATTTGACTTACATAAGTCTAGTCTAGTCCAGGCAACTGGGGAATGTGGTTGCTGGGTCTAAACTGTACCTTATTTAACCACATGACAATGAAAACATCTCTGTTAGTGATTACACTTTGTACGAAGACACCACCCACAATTATTCACAACAAGTTCAATCCTAACCTATCATGATGACTTACCTCCCCTTCTGGTGTGTCGGAGGGACAGAGCAGACCCCACTGTGACGGTTGCAGGGATCGTGGACCACTCACTTTCCTGGTCTTCTCAAACTGTTAACAAAGACATGGTGAAGTGTGGTAAATGGCTTTTCATTCATTCATAAGTTGGGTTAAGATTGATGTTGCTTTTAAGAGTATTCCAGTTACATCACAGCATGTAAGCTTAATGTTGGAGGAGAGCATGTGACATTTACCACTTGATAAAACACATAAGCATGGGTATGGATGGTGGTGATAAACCTTGAATAATAATAGGGCTGGTTGGGATTGGAACAAACAATCTCAGGCTTTGGTGTGCTAAAGGGGCATAACTCTGCAGAGCGAATAAGCACCTGAGCATGAAGGAGAGATACAATGTTGCTGGTGAACCATACCTGTGAGGAGATCCTTGTCATCATGCCGAGAGCTGAGATGTAGGAGAGACGGGACAGAACCTGCGTTACTCCAGCTCTCTCCATCTTGAACCTCTTGATTGTCCAGTTACCCTGGCAACCAACAATGCAGTTCACAGTATTTTTCAGAGCGCAATACAATTTATTGCAAGACTTTTTTTAAATGAGAAAAAAGAAGAAGACTAAAAATAATGCCAATGAATCACAGAAAGTAAAAGTACTGTAACACAGTCATTAGAATTTAGTTGATAATTACTCATTATTGCAGCTCGTGCTGACAAAATTCTTCTACTCACAGTGGAGATGGCGTTGACAAGGCCATTGGTGATCTGGTCCTGTCTCATGTGGCGCACTATGTCAAACTGGGCCGCTCTTGGCTTGGGGATAGTCATGTCTGCTATCTTCTTCAGCTGAATACATAACATCACATCCAGATCTACTTATCACTACTTAAACATGTAAATATATGAATCCATATTTTTAGGGTTTAGAAATTACCACCATGTAGTGTAATAAAAGCACCTTTACCCCTGAACTATTATAGTTAAAGTCACGAGGGTCGCTAGCGTCGAGTGCTTTGGTGTAGTAATAGTTAGCGAAAGTGCTTTATTACACTATACATCAGTGGTTAAGCGAACTGTAATTCTTTCTAAGATGCCAAATTTAATACTTTCTAAGGATTCGATTAATTTAAGGCGAAACCAAGCGGCGGTGTCGGTGACCTCAATTAAGAAGACGCACAGGGCTACTGGCTGGTACTTGTTGGTCTGCCCCTCACGTTAAGGCATTAAGTGGTACCAGAAAAACAAATGATAACAGTTTGATGACGGTTTACGTCAGATTAAATATCTTCTCTGAATTATTTTAATTACATCTGTCATTAACATAAACCATATGGGGCAATATGAGCGTCGCATTTCTACTACCAGCGTAAGTTTAGATCAGTACATCCAGATGAAGCTGAGTAGTCAAGCGACTTCACAATTGCATTGTGGGAATGTAAACATTGCGAGCGTTACCGTCGCTGAAAACTTGTGAGTAATTGAGACAGTTTAACCGTTGTAAAGCATAAGCGTAATGTTTCCACCAGTGATGTTAGCTGTGTGAAGCAAGTGCAAACCAAGAAGCGGGATGCAGCGGGTAGTTTACTGTAGGAGGCGATCATGGCGATGACAACTGACATGCATCATGGCGTAAACACATTGTGGCGTAATGTAAAATGGTTCGATTACGAGGGGGCACACTAGAATGGAGCAGGGACGGAGTAACATCATTCAATTCTTACGTCATAAAAAAACTATACCTTTATGGTCTGATAATGTAATTTTTGTTCGATTGTTCTAACCGCTAGGCATCTTAGAAAATTCCACAAACAACCTACTGGGCTAATACCACTAGCCCTTCGCCAAGTTTGCTAACCATGGTTCAAAAGACAAGCAGGACCTGTTAGATTGGCCTCTGTGCACTAATCATCAGAATCATTATTTTCATCACAGCGGATGTTGTAACTGCTGTTTCTTGTTTCTTACTTCCAAGCATTCCACCAGTCAATGATTTAATTCTAGTGTGTGCATGCAAGTGGGTTGATATTTTTTGATGCAGTCAAGAATATTTCACTTACATGACTACTGCCTGTAATTAATCAAGTCGGACCACACGTATTTGAGCAGTGATTTTTGTCATCAGGGTATAATGACACACCATCATCCAAGTCGCCATGCCTCAACACCTGACTCATTAAGTCACCTCTTAAGACCAGCACAGTAGCTAGGGCCACTTCTAACCAGAAATCCCCATGGATGCTACATTTCTGGATAGAGTCTATTGTTAACCTTTTGTCAATTCCATTCCCATATTTTTATAGCACATTACCTCAGCATTGAATTTCTTGAAGAGATCTTCAAACAGAAGGGAGAGCAGCTGCCCTGCCAGTTCCAGCCTCTTGTTGCCATAGTAATCCCTGTCATCAACCTTCACCTTGTCACCTTCAGCAAGAACTATCCTTCGCACCATCAGGGCCAAGTACACAGCCTTGACCTTGAAATTCCACTGTACCACCTGAGGTCAAGGACATGGTAAATCAGACCTCATTGAAAAACAAAATTTATAGCCAATAGAAAGGTAACCATAAATCACTCATTTCAAGCTCTGATTAATCCCAAGGCAAGGCCTACATTATCATGTTTGTTTAGCATATCTTGGTTTTCAATCAGTGAATTCAGCTTTACGCCACTTTTAGCAATATTCCAGCTATATCACGGCGGGGGACACCAGACATGGGCTTCACACATTGTACCCATGTGGGGAATCGAACCCAGGTCTTTGGCATGACGAGCGAACACTTTAACCACTAGGCTACCCCACCGCCACTTCAATCAGTAAGTCAAAGTGAAGCAAGGTGTTCATAAATAAGGAGCAGCTGTATTTGTATACAAATGGAGAATGGAATATGTAACGTTTGTATTACAAAAATATCTAAAAACTACATTTAAACAACTACCGATTTTTCAAACAATTCTGGTTCCCATTATGAGTTAATATTACATCCAGTGACCTATTCAGTTCACTCATTCAAGCTTGCAAACCCTTCTGGCCATGACACCTGTTCAAGTGTCCCACTCACCGGAACATGAGCAAGGACGACTCCATGAAGCACATCGCGAGCTTCATCAACTTTCGTCTTCTTGGAACCAACCCAAACATTCCTTGTGCGAATTTTGTTTCCAATAAACTTTAATGCCTGCAAAGAAAGCATCAGTCATCTTATAAATAGAACTCACAACATGATACACAGAGAAAAACAAATGGATAGCATGAAGACACAATAGATTTTCTGTATTCTCACGAAAAAAATGAGTGAGTGAGTGAGTTTAGTTTTACGCTGCTTTTAGCAATATTTCAGCAATATCACACAGGGGACACCAGAAATGTGCTTCACACACTGTACCCATGTGGGGAAGAACCCAAGTCTTCAGCATGAGGAGCGAACGCTTTAACCATTAGGCTAACCCACTGCCCATCAGGAAAAAAGCAACAAGATACTGTCAAAATAACTCAAACAAGTTTATTAATCTAAATACCCAGAATTAGCTGAAAAACTTCTGACAATGATATGTCACACTCTTCCATTGTCTACCTCCTGGAAAGCTTGAATTTTATCCATTTATTACAAACAATGAACCGTAAAGGTCCAGGTTAGAATGAACCTACAGTAACCCATGCTTGTCGTAAGAGGCGACTAACGGGATCAGGTGGTCAGGCTCGCTAGCTTGGTTGACACATGTCATCGATTCCCAATTGCGCAGGTCGATGCTCATGCTGTTGATCACTGGATTGTCTGGTCCAGACTCGATTATTTACAGAGTGCTTCCATATAGCTGGAATATTGCTGAGTGCAGCGTAAAATTACACTCACTCACTCACTGACAAACAATGACCCAAAGACCTTATAAAATCTACATGAGCTGACCTGGTTCTGTGTGAACACCTGAGCTCGGTGACATTCCTCCAGACAGGGGGCCATGGCTGCCAACACCTCCTCCTCACTGCCGATCATCTGCACGATCTCCTGGTCACACTCGATTCCCATCGCTTTAAAGGCAATAGCCACAGGAATGTCCTAAAACATGAATAGGGAACACACTGAAAGTACTGTCCATCACAGAACTATCTACATAAGATACACATGGCCTTGAAAATCAGATGAATGCCCAGTAACATTAATAGAGGCCACACTGTACCATCTACCGCGGCATTATCTATACACAAACTCAATGGCCTTGAAGACCACATTTGGGGACCAGCAACATCAATCGGATCTCAATCATTATCTCAGCAATATCTACACTTGATTCCTCCAATTCCTTTTTCACAGGACAAGCAAGGGCACGCTTGACAACAGTACAAGAATCTGAATCAAAACGTTGCACTCTAAAAAAAACCAGAAGTTGTTATCCATAAAGCTTGTCTATACTGTAACTTCCCAACTTTTAAAATGCCACTCCAAGAAGTTAAGGATTATTACTGACCACTTTGTGTGTAACCACAGGAATTAGAATTTCTAAGTATGGTATCAAAGGGAAGCTGCACTCCACAGATTGGTGTTGAAACTCTGTCTGTTCAAGACGCTGCCAGTAATACCAAACATGCATCAATTATATCTTCAGATAAGAGTATTAGTTTGCAACAGCAATGTGGACATTCATGTCAATACTCTGGCTTCAGTAGCTCATGCATGTTGTAAGATGCATGTCATTGTAGCCCAATTGCAAAGACTCATTCTCACACTGGATCGTCTGGTCAAGACACAATTTTCAAAGATCTGTGATCATATAGCACACAAACACAGAAACAAACAAACTAGTTTGCAGAAAGGGGGATGTCTCACCTCTGAAAAAGTGTTGTGCTTGAGATAATATTTCCCATGTTTGACAACAACATATGTCTTACTCTTTCTTTCATGGGTGGAACTGAAAGAAAACAAATCAAAATTCAGCCATAGGAGACCTCACTGATATACTGTGATGTTGGAAAATTGTCACATTTAAGTAATAGTAATTGATATGATAATAATAAGTCCATGAATACAAATACTTATTAGAAAAGACAAATGCCTAAAATGTGTTTTAAAATCTGCCATATATCCAAGATATTTTTATGGATTGGCAGTTCACCTGATGAAGGGACCTGAAATGGTCTCGAAACGTCATGAGAGAAATTACAAAGAAGTTTAATCCATAAAAATATCTTGGACATCAATGTATAACTTCTAAATGCCACTGAAAGACATCATCTGCCATATATTTCTGTAAGAATGCTTTTTTATGTTATTTGTTGGGAAATTATCCTCAAATTCACACTGAAAACAGCAGCATGTAAAGATATTTTCTGTACAACTTTGTCAAATTTGATGAAACATGAAGCAGAATGTTGTTCCAATGTTCCCCTCCTCACCTTGTGACTGAGCACTCGATCGTTCCCTTGCTGCTGATATCAACAATCATCCTGTTCTTGGACAGCTGCTCCTGTATCAGGATGACCTTCTCCACGCCCTTCACGATGAAGTAGCCGCCAGGATCCATCGGACATTCATTCAACTTGGCCATTTCTGCCGGACTCTTTCCATTCAACACACACTTGGAGCTTCTCAGCATTATTGGCATTCTAGACAGTGTAATGTCATGTTTTAACAAGTTACAACAAATAGACTAGGACCGATTGTGGATAAAAGTAATGCAAGAGGCATTTTTTAGTAGGATTTGGTATCCAGGCTATTTTACCTATGTAAAGGGTGCTGATCATGAAAAAATAGGATACCAAGCTGAAAAAAGTGTTTTTGACCCTCAAAATTGAAAAATAAAATGGCCACCAAAATCGACTAAAATAGTGGTAGGTGTGCACAGTATTTTCACCTGTGACTGTGTCTCTATTTCGTAAATTTTGGAAACTTGACCTTTTATGCCATTTAGAGAATGCTGATCATGAATAAATAGGATTCCAAGCTGAAAAATGCCCGGATACCAAATCCTACTAAAAAATGCCTCAACATCTTTTATTTGAGCCTTTTTCCAGAATCGGCCCTAGTCTAAAACCTGATTTCTGCAATAAAGCTAAAGTAAAAAATGGTTTAGTGTCACATTAAAGATTACTGCACTTATATAGCTACCAGTCCCGGTTTTATCTTAATTCTGAGCACCAGGCAGGTACACAACAAGTACCATCTGTTAACATCTTTCAGTATGACCCAGCTGGAGATCAAAACAAAGGCCATCAACTATAAGCCCCCTCTCTTGACTAAGCAAACTGCAATAAAAATACACATGTATTTTGTTTCATAATGGGCAGTAAGGTAACGGTATTTGTTATCATGCAAGGATTTGGCAAAGTTCAAACTGACACAGAAATAACACATGAATCAATACTTTGTTGTGTAGTAAACCCTTGTCACACTTACCTGCCAATGGGCAGGTTGTTGCGGATGATCCTCTGGTTTCCACGTGTGTACTCGATATCCACAGTGACAGGGGCCGAGTAGGTCATGTCCCGCAGGCGACACTGAAACACCAGTCATTGTCTTGATAAATCAAAATAGGTTCTTTTCTTGTCTTACTTCAGTTTCAGTTACATTTCGTTCTGTGGATATTGACGTATTCATCAAATATGAGTGCATGAGTGAGTGAGTGAGTAGTGAGTGAGTTTAGCTTTATGCCGCTTTTACCAATATTCCAGCAATATCACGACGGGGTACACCAGAAATGGGTTTCGCACATTGTATCCATGTGGGGACCATCAAATATGAACTGCTCCACCTCTTACTATCTGACACGTATGAGTCACTGTTTTATACTGTTCTACTGAAGGGGCGGTTGGGTAGCCTAATGGTTAAAGTGTTGGCTTGTCACACTGAAGACCCGGGTTCGAATCCCCACATGGGCACAATGTGTGAAGCCCATTTCTGGTGTCCCCCGCCGTGATGTTGCTGGAATATTGCTAAAAGCGGCGTAAAACCAAACTCAGTAAGTCAGTCAGTTGAAGTCTAATGTATCAGTTACATTTAATTCTGCGGATAATTGAGGTACTTATCAAATATGACCTGCTCCACTTCTTACCATCTGACAAGTACAATTTATTGTTTTATACTGTTCTACTGAAGTCTAATCCTGATATTCTGAATCAGGCTACACAAAGCTTTCATGTTGAATGTCATTGATTCATGGGATTCCTAACATTCAAGTATGGCACAGATTCAGGATGCCGCTAGTTTAAGTTGCAAAAAGAAACATTCATTAAAACAATATACTGACCTCATGTGGAGAGATTGGCTTTGTGATGTTGAACCCTTCTTCTACATCTGGCATGCCAACATAGATGTTCAGGTACCTTCAGATACATGAAACCAACATTTTAAATTCTAGAGAGGGGTTGATATGCATACATTAACATGTTTCATAATACTTTCATAATTATTTCTGACATTTTACAAGGTGTATGCTCTTAAACCTTTGCATTAACTAATGTATAACACTGTATGGCAAAACTGTTTCTAAATTTACATTTAACAGATTTGACTGATTGGAGCCAATATCCTTTATGAATCAACTATCCAAAAATAACTCAACACATTTTCATTTCCTGTAATAGTAAAACAATACTATTAATTATGCAAATTAAAGGTCACATGCAACGTAAAACACAACTTTTCAGATTCTGATACCTTTCGGTATGGACTTACCGAAACAAATCGTCAAAAATGCAAATTCAACTTATAAAGTTGAAAAATAACGCGATGCAAAAAACACACGCTAAATCGGAGTTCAAACGTTTTACTAATTTTCCCCAGCAATTCTGGGGAAAACGGGTTTCAACAGCTGGGCTGCGCTCATAGCACGTGCGCAGTGAAATAGGTTCGCACAACTTGGAAGTGGGCTGTCCGGTGAATACTCGGAGAAGGCTTTGGTGTGAGCTATTTTTCTAATGTTTTGTTGATATCTCACAGCCGCGAGCTTTACATGTTATGACAGTAAATTAACTGTTTATATAATTTAATTTGTCTATTTCACCACACGTTCTTCTTAGCGAGTCACTTTCTCAGTTCGATACTTAAAAGCAATGTCATTATTTAGCGGTGACAATTTCTAACTGTGATATAGATATGTCGTTGTCACAGACAAAACTCAATGTCTTGTTTTATTGACACCTGTGTGTCTGCCTGCCTGTCTGCTAATGACAATATTCAATACACAGCTGCTATCACTGACCACATGCAATTTGAACTTAACACCAATCAGGCTATACACCATAAACAAAATGCATTGATTTATGGCCCGAGTTCGGTCTCTGTCACATTATGTAATTACACAGACAGGCAGGTGTGATACTTGAACACATGACATGTTATGATGTCTGTTGATTGCAAAATGTTATACACAAAAAATGAGCATGTATTTACAAAACCCAACATCTCTATATATACACACACAATGAGTCGTTAGGGCATCTGCAAATGAACCAGCCGTTACACTTGAGTGCACACCCACCCGCTCTGACAGGGCTCGGTATCCCGGCTGCTTCGTTTCTTGGGAAGTAAACGGAAGTACACAATATTGCACTTTTGATTTGCGATTGTACGCTTATAATTTTGTTTATATGCTTTTTCATAACCAACAATGTATATTATATGTCATGAATAAGTGATAATTGTGTTTTAATTATGTTTGATTTTTTGGTTGCATGTGACCTTTAAGTAAATAAAGCAAAACAATTTAAATGAAAAACATTAAATTCCTCGACATTGTCCATAAGGTCAATGGAAAGACTCACTTGACATAGAAGTTGGGATCAGCATCAGATGTTATTTTTTCATTGGCCCTCATTATCTTCTTGATCTGAGAACAACATTATGAAACATTTGTAGAATGAAAGGGAGTTTGTGCTACAATCTAAAATTCTAATTGGTTGAAAAATGTTGTTAAATGGGTGTTCGAACTTTGAGGGATGCAAATATTTCATTCTTTTCACAATCCACAATTTCATTGAATGTTCATCTTATTCACAAATTAGAAAAATATGCAAAATTAGCTTGTCAAAAGGGAAATGACACTGAAAAAATATTAGGTTTGATCAATTATGTAGTTGATAAAGGTTTAACTCACCATTGATAATAAATTAAATAATGAACGAGCTGAATGGATGCTTACCTCAACATTGATGAAGTAATTAAATGACGAATGAGTTCAATGGCAACTTACCTCAACATTGATGAAGTAGTTGAAAGAATCAATGTGCTGTTTGACAAGGCCTTTTACTTTGAGAAAAGCAGGAAGTAGCTTCCACTTGTCCTGGAAATCAGAAACTTGAATTAAACTGTGAAAGGATAGATTTCCTTTCAATACCCCAACTTTTGTTCCCAGTTCATACAGTGGATCAAATGCCAATGTGACTTATTTTTACTTATGATATGCATAAAATATGTTTATGCTAATCTCAAGACTATATGATTCTCAGTAAAATATTTTTTTTACTTTCATGATTTTTGAGATGCGTGTGGTTGTGCGCGGGAAACATTAGGAATTCTTGAGATGGGAGATGGAATGTAGTTTAACATCATACTGAACCTTTGTATTCACATGCACAAAAGGAATTTCACTCATGTAGTGACATGGTGTATCATGTGGCTGCTCAAGACTCACGTACGTTTTATGGTGCTAGCCCACCGAGAAACCATGGTTGTTGAAGTTTAATTTAAATTTTGGAAAGACCTCTGCCCGTATCCCCCTTAAATTTCATTCTTGTCAAATCATATCACCTGAACATATATTCGTCATCTGATAGGGACTAGCATGTTTCTTTAATTGTATCTGAACATACTGAGAGACATATTCAACTTCTGAAAATGCCACTCAAAGAGTTTCAATTTTTATAATGTTACGTAAAAATGTTCTTTTCTACGGGCTCATCCCAGAGCTCCATCGTGAGGCCAGCCTTCTACCCCTCCAGACAAGACCTATACAAGAAGGAAGGCTGAAGGCATACATCCGAAAATCCTCAACAGCTAGGCAGGAGGAGGTTTTCGAACTGTGGAGTTTATTCAAGGATGGAGACCTGTCTCTGTCGCAGCTACTATCAAGATGTGCGATGATCCACGGACCAATCGTTTAGTGCAATTCATGAAGACATTCGGCCAAATAAGCATCCGGCCAAATAATGACTTTGACTGACGTGTGAACATGTGTTATGTTGACGGTTTGTTACCGTCTTTATTATAATCTTGTTATTTTAATGTAATGGGTGATTGAGTGAGTTATGATTTTACGCCGCTTTTAGCAATATTCCAGCTATATCACATGTTATAATCTTGCTAATGTTGAAATGAAATAAAAACCATAAGTCAACGTCATACTGTGTTTTTTATATGTTGATTCTAATGTTATAATTAAACGAACTAAAACATAAAAGTCAACATCATACTGTGTTTTGTATATGGTGCCGTTTTAGCTCAGAAATCAATAGCCGTGTTCGCCAATACGGTGCCAAACGATTTTGGTGCCGTTCTGCTGTGGTGCCGTTTTAGCTATAACCCGTTAAAATCTAGGGGGATACGTGCGGAAGTCTAACAAATTGTCCCTACAGCTATCTGTGGACTAAATACCCCTGGTATATGCAAATGCGGAAAATGCGTTAATTGTTTAAATTCTTATTTTTCAAAATTCAGATTATTTTAACATTTAATCCAATGCCATAATGTGTAACGAAGCAATATAGTCTCCTCCACTTGATTAATCCTGTAATCAGTCCAAAGTGGAGCCAACCCGATACATTATTCAATATCTATACCTTGACAGTACGGATAGGCTCCGTCAGTTGCTCCTTGTCCATTTTCATAATATCCTCTATGGACTCCATTGTTTATCTGTCATGCACAGCAATATCAGGCCGAAATATCTACTTGCACGTGTTGCAAAAGAGTTGCAGCATGAAATGAACAGCCATTTTCTATGATGAAAATCCGGACTAATGGTATTATTTACAATCTAGAAGATTTTTTCACTCGCTGCTAGATTAGATAGTTCCATGCAGCTAAACATTCTAAATAAGATATATCAAGTTTATTATTCAAATAATATTACGATAGAGAGAAAGAATTTTATAAAAACCCTTATTGGGTGAGTTCGTTTTGGTCCGGTTAAAGTTCCTCAATCAAGGGCAGATAACTAAAAACATAATCAGTCAGGTCTGATAACGTTGGTGAGGTTGCTCGACCTTCCTCATAACCCTTCATTTATTTGTGAGTGTCATTTCTATCTTCTCTCAGGGTTTGATTTGTGTTGTTGCTTGCTTCACATGTATCATATTGTCACATGTAGAACTGAAAACTAACATCTTTTCCCCCGGGTAAGATGAGATACCGCTGTCTCCACTGGCCTCAAGTTACACCCCTTTAATGGCTTAATCATAGGCATAAAAAATAATTATCGAAGTTCATTTCCATCAGTTCTTCAGTATTTTATGCAGGGGTATGTTGTTTTACTAATTTTGGAAAGATCTACCCATGAAATAAATAATTAGATTAATCCCATATGCAATAAGAAGCTTATATGTCGTCAGCCATGTCAGGTGACATGTGTTTCAATTCATAGGTGAAGAAGCCAGACAGAACAAACACACAGGATGCAGTCAATGAGTGGATTATTTTGTCGTAAATGTGCTGAAAGTGTACGTATGTTGCACATGACAAAATTGAGATCCCAAATCTCAAATCAACACATTCAAAATGTCCACAAGAGCACAAGGTCCAGTATGTCAGCATGGCAGATTCACCAGTATGGAGGAAATGAAGAGTTCACCCTCTCTCGCACAGCCAAGGTGCCCACTATTCACAGCCCAGAAGAACTACTCATTGAAGTTCATGCTGCCAGTGTTAACCCTATTGATGTTCATATGAGAGGTAGAGCATTCCAATACATATTCCTAGTGTCTATGAATTAAGTTCAAATTTATGTTTATATTTGTAAACAGTAAATGTCGTCATAAACGTGCCTGTTCTACCCAGATTGTGGAACTGCAATGTTGGTAGTTCCATTCATTGCCCATTTTGTAGTCTCATGAACAATGTGTGTTGTAGGAGGTTATGATGGGGTGATGCTGAGTGAGACGAGGTACTTGAGAAATATACAAGTCTCTAGTCTCATGAACAATGTGTGTTGTAGGAGGTTATGGTGAGGTGATGCTGATTGAGACGAGGTACTTGAGAAATAAACAAGTCTCTAGTCTCATGAACAATGTGTGTTGTAGGAGGTTATGGTGAGGTGAAGCTGAGTGAGACGAGGTACTTGAGAAATAAACAAGTCTCTAGTCTCATGAACAATGTGTGTTGTAGGAGGTTATGGTGAGGTGATGCTGAATTCTATGAGGAAACTGCTAGGGAAGCCCAAGTCAGGGAATGAGTTCCCGCTAACCCTGGGCAGAGACTTCTCTGGGGTGGTGTTGGAGACAGGGAAACGTGTCACTGACTTCAAACCTGGAGATCAGGTGGGATACCTTTTTATCTTTTTGAGTAATGATTACTTTCCAAACTTAGGACAAAAGCACCAGTCCATATCGTTTTCTTTTATAAGCAAGTAATATCTTACAATGATAAAGAGTCATTTTTTTCATTTCTGAATTTTCAATCTCAAAATCATAGGAGAGTTTATTTTGAATGTTGAATAGAATAGAGAGATTTTCCAGTTGTTTGATCAGACCAACCATGTCTGTTGTCCATGGACTTACTTCATGGGCCAGTACAGCCATGGGTTAACTAAACATGGACAGAAGCAGTAATTGTTTTTGCAACCTGTTTTCAAAACACATTGTGAACTACCAGCTTTATTTAGGAAGCAGCCTTCATTATCTATATAGAACGAATACTTTAGGAATTTAAAAATTAAAAAAATAAGGAATTTAATTTGTTGATTTACTGTAATGAGTATGCTTCAATAGAAAGGAAAGGCCTTATATTTCTAAGACTGAAGTGACCCCCAGCTATATGTATGTTTCTGCTGCAGGTGTGGGGAGCAGTGGGAGCTCACAGACAGGGGACCCATGCAGAGCTCCTGGTCACATCACAGAAGGAGGTAGTTACACTTGATGTAATTAGGATCAGATATATCTTCTGATACAATATCTCTATGTGATAGGGCTGCAGATGGCACGTTTATCCAAGGCACTGCAAATTTGTACAGAATTGTGTCCCCAAACTTTTGATTGTGGGTTCAAATGATTGTTTGCACTGATTATGTTTCTTGGTTTGTTTGCACCATAGTTGTGCTGTTGGGCTTCACCAAAGAGGTAACCATCTGGGACCCACATTAAAGTGTTCACTCCGCTCCCAGAATCAACATCTTCTCTCAGTTTCCCAAGTTCGTCTCAAACACTTTGGCCATAGGTCATTCAAATTTGAAGCACCAACCCTATGGAACAGTCTTCCTACTCCCATAAAAAATGCTTCATCCTTAGAAGCATTCAAATCAGGACTCAAAACCTTCCTCTTCAAAAAAGTCTACAACCTATAACTGCGAAATATTCTCATGGTCATTTTGACGAATTGTCATATCTTCCTCTTGAACTCTAGTGACTCTTTTTATATGTAGCGCTTTGAGCATGCTCTGGATGGACTATGGCGCATAAGAAATATCCATTTATTATTATTATATTATTATTATCACACTGAAGACTTGGTTCGATTCCCCACATGGGTGAAGCCCATTCCTGGTGTCCCTGCCGGGATATTGCTGGAATATTGCTAAAAGTAGGGTAAATCCCAACTCACTTACTTACTCCCTTTTCCCCCATATTTAGCTGAGTGGCTGTGATTTAACTGGAATACTGTTCAAACTGGTATTAAACCAACTCACCCTCTCTGAACTGACAAAACCTCCATACAAGATCAACCTGTGTAGATCAGGGTTCCAATATTGATCTTCAGCAACCCATGCTTGTAAGAGGTGACTAACAGGATCGGGTGGTCAGGCTCGCTGACTTGGTTGACACATGTCATCGATTCCCAACTGCGCAGATTGATGCTCATGCTGTTGATCACTGGATTGTCTGGTCCAGACTCAATTATTTACAGACCGCCGCCGCCATATAGCTGGAATGTTGATGAGTGCAGCGTAAAACTAAACTCACTCACTCCATCCTGGAAAATATGTGCCATTAAATCTTAAATATTTTCAGTACCACTAAATGAAATATTCAGAGCTGCACATCTGATTTTTGTAAAAGACAACTAAGGGATCGGGTGCACAGGCCCTCGTGTTTTTGCGACGATTAAAGATGTTAAAAAGATATAAAACATTTGAGATGACCCCTGACTCGAAATGCTTCACAGTACAATACATTATGACAAGGCCGGACACTTCAGTGTACCCTACCCGCCTGCTTAACATAACCATGGATAATTGGCCTATCGATCAACACTCATGACACCTACCAATTCTTCATTGTTATTACTACAAGTCGATTGAAACCTGATTTTCACCCTCAACTAAACAATCTTGACACAAATGGATGACAATGTGTCTGCACATAACAGGGTGTGGTCGAAGCAAGCCCCCTGATTGGTCAGTGCTTGCAAATCTGCACATTCTTTATAAATTTGCGGGAATTTTCCTTTCATCGACTGCTTAATGTAAGCAATGGCTTGTCAAACGAAAGCATCAGTTGGAAATGTCTCCTTAACAAGGCTTGCTTCGACCACCAGGTGGGTAGGATACACCAAAGTGTCTGGCCTTGTCATAATGTATTGTACTATGTAGCATTTCAAGTCGGGGGCATCTCAAAATAATTTTGTTTTTAAATCTTTAATCTTCGCAAAGACATGAGGGCCTGGGATCGGCTGGTCAGACTCGCTAAATGGTTGACACATGTCTTTGTGTCCCAATTGTGTAGATCGATGCTCATGCTGCTGATCACTGGCTTGTCTGGTCGATTCAATAATTTACAGACCACTGCCATAAAGCTGGAATAAAGTTAAACAACAAACAAAACAATCAAAACTTTCTGAAGATCTGTAGGATTCTTTCTGCTGTACCTGACACTGACAAATCGCTCCTGAACTTTACATATGCCTATGAACTTGATGTTCGTTTCTGTTATTGTTCAGATATCAAAGAAGCCGAAGACACTGGACCATCTAGAGGCAGCATCCATTCCCTACGTGGCTGTGACATCATGGACCGCGACTGAGGTGCAAGGAAAGGCAAAGAGGAAAGAGGGAACTCAAGGAAAGCAACACTGCAGGGAAGAGGTTGGTAGTAAACTGTGTGCCACACATCATGCAAAGAGGAACACTTTTATGGACAGACAACTTCTTTGTTGCAGTAGATGCAGAAAGGGCGCTTTCGCGAGAAAGGATGTAGATCCTAACACTGTTATCAAGCAAACGATGATAACAAAGAAGTTGTCTGTCCATAAAAAGTGTTCCTCTTCATCAGACCAGCTTCTAAATGCCACTTAAGGAAACATCATGCACAGAACTAATGACAATGTTATCATCATTCCATGAAATCCAGGACCCCATGTTACCAAAAACCTGCCATCATGACAAATACTGTGTGAAAGTCGATGAAAGTATATGAATACTAAGAAAATTAGTACCTATGTACCTTGTTTTCACTCCAGTGAGTGTAAAACCCTTTATGAGTTCCGACTTCTTTCACTAAGTTATATTACAAATTGTCTTAAAGAAGTAATATTATTATGTAGTCTGTTTTGCTGAGAATTAAGAAATATCATTATTTTATTCAATCTCAATCATCAAAGGTAATGTTGATTTTTAAAAATAATGTTCCATATTTTACAGTTACCCCATGTAGCATTCTTTCAAGAGCTCCTCAAGGGGTTCACTTCAATTTAATGGTGTTTGGTTATGTCTGTGTCAAGTTCAGAATGATTCTCTGTGAGCTTCAACTTCACGACTAAGTTTTACCCAGTAAGTATATTCACTTTCAGGATCCTTGTTCATGCTGGTTCTGGGGGAATAGGCACATTTTCTATACAGGTAATTCACTTGCACACAGTCTTATGATAAAGAAAGAGACGAATATAGAAGTTATAGAGAAATGTGTTTTGGGATGGTAATATCCTGAATTAGGAATAAACATTGTATAAGCAGGTATTGGTGTTTGGCTAGTGTTCTTACTAAATTGTTTCTCAATTTGTATCCCAAAAGCCATTGAAACCTGTGTCCTGGCATTAGTGGCTAAGCTGTGTGGGTTACCACAATTTGCTGTGATAACTTGTGTCCCTATTATAACTCTCAATGGGTGTTTGCACCAACCCCTGTATATGTGTTTCACCAAAGTGGTAGCCATCTTGGATCTGGATCACTTGCCACTTTTCTCCCACATCCAGCTGATATGCTGTGATATGATTGAAACTCAGATCAGTGAAACAAAATCTCACTGAACCTTGAGTTGTATGCGTCCTACTGCTGTTTGACCGACTCCACAGTGTAGTAGATAAAGCATCTGCAAAGAAGATGGAAGGTTGGGGTTGTTTTTATCTTGTAAAAAGGCTGCTTGTTTTCCTCCAGGGTGGTCATTCTTCTTCATAGAGATCATCCTTGGGGTACATATTATGCATTTTCCCAGCTGAAAATGTCCTGTGACAGTTGTATCAATGTTTTTGAATAAAAAGATTGTACAATAAATAAACTTTTTTATTTATTATACGGCCCCCCACCTCGTGGAGTTACCTCCCGTTACGCATGCGCACCAACTGGGTAATCACCTAGGCCCGTATCATCATTCCTTCTGCTGTCACTAACGTGTGAGGACGTATGTGTAGAGCAGCGCTATACTCTTCGGAACTCAAGAGAATTATGTCTGAGACACCACCTGTATGTATGGTCTTTATCTTGTCCTTGCTAAGGAGCAGTAAAGCTTTGCGGTCGGTTGTTTCATAATTGTGACTTTGTATTATTTTACGCTAACTTTCCCGTGGTTTACGCACATGTTGCTCTGCCATGGTGGGAAGTTTAGCGTGCCACATGGTTGTAATATTGCATATTGAACCAACTATTTCTTCCCGTGGTAGCCTTCACGTATTTTTCAATGTTTTATACGTGTCTATTAGCTGCTGGTCCGCTGTTAGCTACATGCTTGCGTGTTTGCTTTCAGGCGTTTTCCTCCTGTTCGGTCTGTGGGCAGAGCATTCCCAGGGCTGACCGCCATGACAAATGCATTGTGTGTCTGGAAAAAACGGACCATATCTCAGAAACATGTGAGATATGTATCGGGTTTTCCCCCCGGGCCCAGAAGAGAAGGGCGGCTGATTTTCTCTTTTATAGAGAGATGCGGGAGGCGGGAGGGGAACTGACCCAGGTCCCGCCGTCCAAAGCCAAAAAGCCTCGTAGGCAAGGCAAAAAGTCACGCAGCCAGTCGCCTTCTCACGCTCCTAGTAGCGGTTTTGACATGTCGTTAGCATGCGCAGATGTTCCAGCAGCACGCGGACTCGGATGAGGTCCCTCGTTCATGAGTCGGTTGGAGGGCTCCGGCAGGAGTTCCTCGCCCACTCTGAGCGTGGGGCGGAGAGTCTGGGGGTGGGATCGCCGAGCCCGGCTCGATCCCTTGGCCTTGAGGCGTCTGTAGATCCGATGCCTCTGGCTTCGGGTCCGGACGCCTCGGCTGCCCCGGAGGGGGAGGCTTCGCTCCCAGTCCCCCTCTCGGAGTTGGCGCAGGGTCCGTTGAGGATTCCTGGGGTTCCGTCTCGCGCCGTCCCCGCGCTCCCATGAGAGCGGAGGCACCAGTTCTGCTTGGTCTGCCTCCAGCGTCTCGGGACCGGGGTCCGTGCGAGATGGCAGGTGCCGACGCAGGGCGCTCTGTCTGCTCCTCCCTCTCTTCTATGCCTGGTGCTAGGCCGCCAACCGGGTCGGGGTTCGGGTCCTCTTCGCGAGGAGACCCAGCCTCGGACTCGGGCTCAGTCGCCGAGTCCATGGATACTGGGGAGGTAGAGGAGCAGGAGGGTGCCTTCCGCTTTCCGCTGGCCGCGGCTTTGCGGGAGGTCTGGCAACGCATTGCCGAGTTCCTACCCCAGGCCGCGGTGCCTGCCAGCCGCACAGACTCGTCTGAGTTCCGCCTGCCAGGCGAGGCGTTTGCCCCTCAGCAGCCTACGCAGATGCTGCTCCGTATTCTACCATCGTTGGTCCAGGACGTGGTTGATCCCCTCCTGTCTGGGTCTCACCTCCGGTTCGACTTGCCTGAGCTTGTCCGGAGGTACCAGCTGGGGGAGGATTCCCTGTTCGCTGTTCCAGTGGTGGATGAGTGCGTGTTTACTTCGGTCGCCTTAGGGGGAGGCTCGGCTTCCTCCGGAGCAGCTCCGGCTGCTCAGCAAGGGCGGTTAACACCGTTTGCCCTGGCGAGGCCCCTGCGGCATGCGCATCGGACCTACGCAGGAGGTCTACCGGTTAACACCACCATTTGCCATGCTCGCTGGCTTCGCGCGGCATGCGCATCGACCAACGAGGAGGTCTACCGGAATGCCATGCAGCAGGTGCGGGTCGTGGTCCATGAGGCCTACCTCGCGAGCGACTCCTTGCGGTCAGCTGCGTCGACGGTGATGTGCGCAGTCATGGGGATGCACAAGCTGTGGCTGTCGACGTCTAGGTACTCGGCAGCTACACAGCAGACTTTGCTGGCCCTTCCCTACCGTCTGGGAGCGACGTTGTTTCCTGGGGCCCAGCAGGTCATATGGGAGGCTGCCGCTGCAGCTACCTCCTTCAAGGACTCTAAGGCCTTGTTGGAGCACCCGCGGGGTTCTCGCCCCCGGGCTCCCGTTCAACCTTCCTCCGCCGGGGTGCAGCCTACACCCGAGTCCGCTGGCTGGCTTCGGCCGCTCGGTAGGCGGAGGAACCGGTCCGCCAAGGGTAAGGGCAAAGAGCAGTCCTCTTCAACTAGCTCCCAGCCTTTTCGCGGGCGCGGGAGGTCTGCCCCGACCTCCCGTTAACCCATCAGGCTGTAGACCCAGCCGTGTGTCATTCCCAGTCAGCTCCGCTATTCGGGACCACGAACGCGCTCTTACCCAACGTCCCAGTGGGAGTCCGCCTCTCTCTATTCCTGCCGGAGTGGGAGAAGGCTACAAACAACACTTGGGTGCTGGCCACCGTCAGTGTCGGCCATTTACCATGGTGGAAGCGAGGTCCGCCCGACTTCACCGGCATACGCTGCACTCCGGTGCCGTCATGTCAGGCAAGGGCGGACATATTGCGCGACGAAGTTCAGGCTTTGCTGGACAAGTCCGCAATCGAGCGCATACCACTGGGCGAGGAACAGGCGGGAGTTTACTCCACGTACTTCCTCGTCCCGAAGAAAGACGGCGGTTCCGCCCCATTCTCAACCTCAAGGGTTGAATCGCGATGCTCAAGTTCCATCCTTCAAGATGGAGACACTGCGCCGGTGATCTCCTCTGTTCAGCCCGGCGATTGGCTCACGCCAATCGACCTCAAGGATGCGTGATCTCAGATGTGCCCATACATCCATCGCTCAAGCAGTACCTTCGGTTCTCTTACGACGGGATGTGTTACCAATTCACGGTGCTCCCCTTCGGCATATCGACTGCCCCAAGGGTGTTCACCAAGCTCATGTTAGTCCCGGCTACCCTCGCTCGCTCGCAAGGAAGGCGTTGTTACCCTTACCTCGACGACTGGTTGCTCGGCGCACTAACACAGCCAGCGAGCCTAGATGCTACTCACACGGTGATAGACATTCTAGTTCGACTGGGGTGGATCATCAACCTCAAGAAATCCGACCTGGTACCCACCCAGGACTTGGTTTTTCTCGGGGTGAGGTTCCAAACACACAAGGATCTCGTTTCCTTGTCGCCCGACCGGGTCACCAGAGTACGGGAGATGGTGTCTTCGCTCTTTCCCAGCCCCAGGCACCAGCACGGACTTGGCTCCGCCTACTGGGCCATATGGCGGCGCATTTATCTCTGTAGTGTGGCGGTTGTTGATGATGCGCTCTCTACAGCAAGCTTTGGCGAAGTCTGTGGGCTCACTCGGAGGACCTGGAGCGAGTCTCACAGTCCCCGGTGGTTGACACCTCACCTTCAGTGGTGGACCAATGTCGGGAATCTCACCAGGGGATCCCTTGGAAATCCCGACGCCAGCTCTTACAGTTCAGACCGGCGCGCCCTCACGGGCTGGGGTGTTCTGGGCAGTCTGTCGGTGTCCGGACTCTGGTCGGGAAGTCGGCCCACCTTCACATCAACGTGTTGGAACTGAGAGCTGTGCGCGGTTGGTTTTCGAAGGCGCTTCCGAGCATGTCCAGGGCCAGGTGGTTCGTCTTCAGTTGGACAACCAGACGGCCATGTCGCACATCCTGAAGCAAGGCGGCACGGTGTCCCGAAAGGCCCGGGAGACATGGGACTTTCTCCTCTGGTGCGACCAGTGCGATTGTCAGGTACTCCCTGTTTATCTCCCGGGGCTGGAGAACGTGCGAGCAGACGCTCTCTCTCGCCGGATCCTGGCCCCGCACGAGTGGATGCTCGACAGGCAGATATTCAGAGTTATCTCCCAGTTGTACGGGTCGTTCCAGGTGGATCTGTTTGCGTCCGGCGGGACGAATCAGACACCCGTGTTCTGCTCTCGAATACCGGACCTGAGGGCGTTGGCTGCCGACGCCTTCCTGCTGGATTGGACGGGCAAAGTGCTCTGGGCAATCCCACCGTTACCACTCATTCCTCGTGTCCTTTCACAGCTGTCCACCCAGCCAGCTCGGCTGCTTGTGCTACTGGCACCGCTTTGGCTGTCACAGAGCTGGTTTCCGGTAATTCTCAGGTTTCTGGCTCAGCCTCCTGTTCTATTACCTTTACGACCGGACATTCTCACTCAGAACGGAGCTTCCCCACCCCAATCCAAGGATTCAGTGGGTGGCTTGGCCTCTGTCAGGTCTAGCCTCGAGGCACGCTGAATTCTGCAGCAGTTGCAGACACAATTCTGGCTTCGAGGCGGATTCGGACAAACGCTCAGTATGAGGATAGGTGGTCCCGCTATGCGCGCGC